ATAGTACCTTTTCCCATGTTGCATCGCCAGCAGACATCGCTACAGTTTTTATTCATTTTTGCTATTCTTTCAGGTGTTAAATACCATCTATGTTGCATTTTAAGGTAATTTTCTTTCAGTGTATAACACATAGTAAATTTCATATCTTCTTTCCACAATTTTTCCCATTGTTCAAACATAATATTTTTCCCAATATCTTGCGCCCATTTGATCATTGATGCTTTAACTAATTCATCCTTTGTTTCCCACTCTAAAATCAGATCATACAATTTAGATATATTTTTTGATTTTTCTTGTATTAAGTATTTATCGAATTTTGATATTTCCTTTTCAAATCCTGACTTTTTGTCTTTTGCTAATCTATACTTAATTTGAATATATTGGAACCAATCACTAATATGAGCTTTAATTTCTGTGTAATCCTTTAATTCCAATTCTCCGTTTTCTTCCTTTAATACAGTTTTATAGGTAGCCCAATTTTCTTTCATATTTAATTTTTTCACTGCGACAATTTCTGCTGGCGATGCCCACCAGGGAGTTTTCGGTTCTAGGAGTCTTTTATATTTCTCCCATATTTTATATATAGATTTTCTGATTATATGCCCTAGGAAGCCTTTATGTACTCTCACTTTTTCATCTATTAAATAGGCATGCCATCCAAATCTCGTCTCTACTCCCTCTAAATCCAATACATCCGAGTCATCTAATTTGATCCATTCCTTTAGCCAGGTCAGACCCACCGCATCGTGATATAACTCCATATCTGGGAGACCAAATCCTCCTCTCTCCTTCTTATCTATCATTATTTTGTGTTTTATTCTTGGCTTTTTCCCTGACCATATGAATTTAGCCAAATCTCTTTTCCAGTTATTAAAACATTTATCTCCTCCTAGTATTGGGATACTTTGAAATAAAAACATCATCCTTGGTAATATGTTCATCTTTATTACCGATATTTTCCCTAGTAAGGAAAGATTTAATTTTCCCCATACTTGCAAGTCATTTTTTATTTCATTCCATGTTTTCCCATAGTTCTCATTACTTAAATCTATAGTGTTTGTTGTTAAATTTATTCCAAGATACCTTATTTTCTTTTTAATTTCCAATCCTGTAATTTCTTGTAATTTCACTTTATCTTTTTCTTCCATATTTTTCACTAGTATTTTGGTTTTTCCATAGTTTAATTTGAATCCTGCTAATCTACCATATTCGTTTATGCATTCCAATATTCTAGGTGTACATTGTAGGGGATTTTCTGTTGTGATCATAACATCATCTGCAAAGGCTCTTAACTTATATCTTTTTTCACCAACTGCTATTCCTCTTATTTGGTTGTCCTGCCTTATTTTCTTTGATAGAACCTCTAATACTATTATAAATAACATTGGGGATAGGGGGCATCCTTGTCTTGTACCTTTAAAGATGTTGATTTCTTCTCCAAACTCTCCATTAATAATAATTTTTGCTTTCTGTTGGTTATATATTGCATTTATACCTTTTTGGAATTTTTCACCTAGACACAATTCTTTTAATAGTTTTTTCATAAATTCCCACGAGATTTTGTCGAAAGCCTTCTCCGCATCGATTGAAATCAGGGCTGCTTGTTTGTCTCTTCTTACTTGTAGATATTCTATTATGTCTATTATATTTCTGATATTATCCTTTATTTGTCTACCTTCCACAAATCCAGCCTGATTTTATGTACTATTTTTCCTATAATTTTCTTCAACCTATTAGCCAATAATCCTGCATAAATTTTATAATCGCAATTTAACAATGAAATGGGTCTATAATTTGAGACAGATTCCAAATCCGTACCTTGTTTTGGCAGGAGCGTTATATACCCTTGAGTCCAAGAGTCTGGAATATTCCCCTTCTCTACAGCTTCCTCTATTACTTCTTTTAGTGGGACGATTAATTCATTTAACATTTCTTTGTAGTATTCTGCTGGTATGCCATCTGGACCTGGGGATTTCCCTATTTTTAATTTTGAATTGATTCCTTAATTTCTACAGTTGATATGGGTTCATTTAATAATTTATGGTCTTCTTCTGTTATCTCTATTAATTTATTTTTCTTTATATATTCCTCTATTTCTTCTATTGGCGCTTCATCTTTTTGATATAATTTTTTGTAATATTTTCAAATTCTTTTTTAATTTCTGTCATATCCCTTATTGTCCTCTCTTCTACTTTTATTTTATTTATTAATTTTTCATTTCTTTGTTTCTTTAGTTGCCAGGCAAGGATCTTGCCCGGCTTATTTGCCCATTCAAAATTTTTATATTTCCAAAATTTGATTTGTTGTTCTACCTCGTATTCTATAATTTTATTATATTCTACTCTCAGTAATTTAATTTCTTGATCTAATCTCTCTTTATTTTTGCTTGCATAAGCCAATTTTTCCTTCCTTTTAATTTCTTCTAAAAGCCCCCTTTTCTTTTTTTCTTTATTCTTATATGCTATTGAGTTTTGTTGTATGAAATATCCCCTAACAACCGCCTTCCCAGCATCCCACACTGTTTTAACATCTGTCCCTTTCCTCCAATTGTTTTCAAAATATTCCTTCATCAATTTTCTAGCTCTTTGTATTACTTTTTTCATTTTTTAATAAGAAAACATTCATTCTCCACCTTTTTTTCCCTTTCTCCTCTTTTCCTTTAAGAGTTAATGATACTGGATTATGATCTGTAGGTGTTTTTGGCAATATTTCGGCATTCTCTGCTTCAATTGTCATATCCTTAGTAATCCATATACTATCGATTCGACTATACGAATTTTTGGTTCTGAGAAATATGTGAACTCCTTTTCGACAGGATGTTTATATCTCCCATATATCCACTAAATCAAAAATCCTTACCATTTCAAATTTTGAGGCACGTTCACTTCAGGCACCCAAATGAGCAGCATTGTAATAAAGGGTTGAGGTGGGCTCAAAAGGTTTTCTACAAAGAATGGAGAGTTTGAACTTTGCACATGTAACCTGCGGCACAATCTCATGCATGCCTACTCAGAAGTAGGCCCCATTCACTTCAATGGGACTGGTTTCCAGGGAAGTGTGTGCATAGGATGACAGTGTTAATTGCTGCTATTTAAAGTGATTTCTCTGCATCAATTATTTCCAGCGTTTATAATAGCTGGTATTAGACCATGGGGCAGCTTGTTTTATTGTAGGAGAATGCCAAGTACAGTATACCTGAGAATATTTCAAAAAAGTGAAAAGGATGATATAGCTTTGGACAACAGGAACATAGGAAGCTGATGTAAACCAAGTCAGACCAATGGCCTATCTAGTTCAGTATTGGTTACTCTGGCTGGCAGCCGCTCTCTGGGGCTTCAGTCAGGGATATCTCTCAGCCCTCCCAGGAGAAGCCGTGGGATTGAACCTGAGACCATCTGCATGCAAAGCAGATGGTTTGTCCCTGAGCTATGACCCTTTCCCCAAGGGAAACGTTTATCTTGCTTTCTGGAAAATATGTGTATCTAATTCATGAACTGGAAGGGCAAAGCTGTCTGTCTGTCTGTTTAGATCAGGGGTAGTCAACCTTTTTATACCTACCGCCCACTAATGCATCTTTCTTGATGGTACAATTTCCTTACTGCCCACCAGTGCTCGATGGAAGGAGGATTCAGCTTGTGCCGTAGAACCCCCTACCGCCCACCTAGAATCCAGAAATGCTCACTAGTGGGTGGTAGGGACCAGCTTGACAACCCCTGGCTTAGAACATTTTCCCACAATTTCCTACCATATACAGTCGTACCTCGGCTCCCAAGTGTTCCAGTTTTCAGATGTTCTTTCGGAATCCGAACGTCCGATGGGGCTTCTGCAGTGGCAGAGGAAGCCTCTGGGGCACATGGGGCAGGGCACCCAGGGGTGGGGCAAACAGCCCATAGGGGCCCATAGGGGCTAGGGATGGGGAGCGCCACATGGTACCCAGATGGCACCTGTGGTGCACTGCACCCTCCGCACCCACCTAGCTATGCCTCTGGGCTTCTGCGGACTACAGGAGCTTCCTGCAGCCAATCAGAAGCTGCGCTTTGGAAGTCGAACGTTTCGGAAGTTGAACGGACTTCCGGAACAGACTCTATTCAACTTGTGAGGTGTGACTGTGTACACAATGCAGCTTGCAGTATAAGAGCTTAAAACAAATTGTTTTAAAGCTAATAGGGTTACAGGGAACCAGACAGAGGGCCTTCTCGGTAGTGGTGCCCACCCTGTGGAACACCCTCCCTTTAGATGTGAAGGAAATAAGCAGCTATCCTATCTTTAAAAGACATCTGAAGGCATCCCTGTTCAGGGAGGTTTTTAATATTAAACGCTGTATTGTTTTTAACACTTGATTGGGAGCCGCCCAGAGTGGCTGGGGAAACTCAGCCAGATGGGCGTGGTATAAATAATAAATTGTTGTTGTTGTTGTTGTTGTTGTAAAATAAAATTAAGCAAACAAAAACAAAAAGCAAAAAGGCAGAACAATGGAAGGAACATTGCTTAAAAAGATAATGATCATAACTTAAGCATAATCTTAATTTTAAAAAATGGGAAGTAATTTTATTCTATTTTTTAAGCCTGGGAAATTGGCGGCATGGGGGGGGGGGGATGCCCCCAAACAAGGGAACTTGCTCTCCTTGCCCCCCATTTCTGAATTCATTGAATAATAGTATTGTAAAGTTGGAAGGAACCCCAAGGGTCATCTAGTCCAGCCCCCTGCAATGCAGGAATCACAGCTTAAGAATCCCTGACAGATGGTCATTCCATCTCTGCCACTAACATATGCTGCTGTTTTATTTCTTTCTCGCCCACCCAGAAATATACTACGCCCCTTCTGTTCTTCCCCCAATATTTTTTATCGGGTGCTGGCTCTGGTCTGTGGTAAGGCTGCATTATATTCATTGAGCAAATGTGTGTTAAGTAGTTACAGATTTATTATTAATATGCACGAGACATTAACAGCTCTTTTTGTTTTTATTAGCAGGAGCAGTAAGTGACCCTTTGATTTTTGAATCTCCGTCGCTATGTGGAAAAAACATTCTGTCTTTTGCCTTTTGGTTTTGGCTGTTGCTACAAACTGTGTAGTGTATGGACAAAACAGAAGAAGGGGACAGAAGCCAAGTTCTCTAACAGGAAAAGCGAACCTTCAGGGTAAAGTCATTTTCTTAGAATTTACTATAGGCTGCATGAAATGTTTCCAAGTGCAATGGAATAATCTCCAAGGGAAAGTGGCAAATTATTAATATATGGGGATTTTGTATCATTTTGGTAACAAGTCCTGAGTTCTATGGGAACAGCATGTTTTCCATTAAGACCAGACTACAAGGGACATAATTATTCTATTCTAAAAGGCATGTTCCCTTTCACATAAAGAAACTCAACAGACTTTTTTTAAGGTGGAATGTGCTACTGGAAAATGAATATTGCACACCCACAATTTCAGAATAGATTGGAATATTTATTTCCTTATTGAATAAACAAAATATCTTGTTGCAAGGAAACCTCTAAGCAGTTTACAATAATGGAAAATGAAACATTAGCACTATAAATTTTTTTTAAAAAAAATCCCAGTTGAAACCAGGTATTTAAAAACTTTCAAGAGACGGTTCTAACCAACAGTAGCTAAAAAGAGATAAAGCACATGTGACTTCTACATGTTTGGATTGGCTTGCTGAAACAAAAATGTTTTAAGCAGATGCTGAAAAGAGTATGATGAAACCATCTGTCTGGTGTCAATTGGCAGGGAGTTCCGAAGTGTAACTGCTGCTACACTAAAAGCTTGATTTCTTACAACTGCACAGCTAGTATTATGTGGCACCTACAAAAGTGTCAGTTCTACAGATCAAAGTGGTCTAGAAGCATATATGGGATCAGGTGATCCCAAGCTGTTGTGACACCTTGAACTTGGCCCAATAGCAAATGGGCAAACAGTACAGATCTCTGAGCAGGGGTGTTATATGCTGAAAGGCTCTCACTCCTGCCAGCAATTATGCTGCAGCATTCTGTACTAACTGCAGCTCGTAGATCAAGCACAAGGGAAGCTCCATATAGAGTGCATTGCAGGCATCCAATTTTGCAGTCACCAATGCACAAACTCTTGGCTTCCCGGGACAGCCCTAGATTCAAACTGCATGCCTGCTTCTTCAGGGCAGTGCAGCTCCATCCAGCTCAGGCAATTGACTCATTTCTAGTTGTTGCTCTTTTCATTTTCCCTATAATACACACATAACAGGCAAACTTCTAAGGGTTTTCTTTAATACAGAGCAGAAGAAGCTATTGTAATGTAAATAGATACAGTGCACAAAAGGTTGCCTTCAGCAATATGCAGGCTGTCCTGATTGTATGAAGTGTACGGCATATTAAAGCAGATGTGAGAAACTAATGGCCCTGCAGATGTTGTTGGACTCCAGCTCTCAACAGCTCCAGCCAGCATGACCAATGGTCGGGGTGATGGAGGTCGTAGTCCGACAGCATTCAGACGTCTTGCAACAAAAAAATCCTCTGTGTTGCAAAACAGAACGATCTGATAAACAGAAAGCAACACATAGGCTAATAGTCTACTAACGATATTTATATAACACAGTTGAACTGTTTCTTAATTCACAATCAGAAAACATACAGTACGTACATGGAGTCATGAACTAATAAGAGAACATTCAGACATCAGCAGGTTTCCCATGCCTATAGTAAAGGACTGCAGCCCTATGTTAAATCAACACTTCCAATCCCTACTTCAGCAATACTATTATGGCGGAGGACCTTAAGGGGCACAAATGACAACATTTTGGAGGTCCCAAGTCTCAAGCTGGTTAGGTTGGTCTCAACTAGGGCCAGGGCCTTTTCAGTACTGGCCCCGATCTGGTGGAATGCTCTGTCACAAGAGACTAGGGCCCTGCGGGACTTGACATCTTTCCGTAGGGCCTGCAAGACAGAGCTGTCCCACCTGGCCTTTGGTTTGGATTCATCTGACCCTTATGTTTCCCTCCCCTTATGGTTTTGACCTATGGGCTACTTTTAAAATGAGGCTGCGTTTTAAATTGCATTTTAACCTGTATTTTAAATTTGTTTTTTTTCTATTATGTTTTTACTGTAATTTTACTGGTGTTAGCCGCCCTGAGCCTGGCTCTGGCCGGGGAGGGCAGGGTATAAATAAAATTTATTATTACCATTATATTATTGTTATCATGTGAATTGAGAACATAAGAACTGCCCGTCTAGTCCACCATCCTGTTCTCACAGTGGCCAACCAGATGCCTTTGGAAACCCACAAGCAGAACCACCACTGACTCCTGCTTTGTTCCACCATCTAATGAGAAGAACCTATAACTGGATTGGAATTGCCCTCACCTCTTCCCTTTCTATTTGAAACCACCCCATGTTTTTGTCTTCTCCCACTGCGGCTTCGTTCCCCGTTTTTGAATGATCTCTGTCCCATCTTGCCCTCCGCAGCTTCCGTCTGCTTCATCGATATCATCTTCATCCTGGACAGTTCCGAAAGCGCAAAAGATGTCCTGTTTGATAAGCAGAAGGAGTTCGTCACCACCTTAAGCGACAAGGTTTTCCTCATGAAGCCCACCAGAGTCCGCAGGTACGACTTCAGACTGGCAATCATGCAGTTCAGCAGTTCGGTCAAAATCGACCATCCTTTTACCGAATGGAGAAACTTGCAGACCTTTAAGCAGGAAGTCGCTGGGATGACCTTTATCGGGCACGGCACGTATTCCTATTATGCTATTTCCAACGCTACCCAGTTGTTCAAAACAGAAGGCCGTAAAATAGGTGTCAAAGTGGCTTTGTTGATGACGGATGGGATCGACCACCCAAAGTCTCCTGATGTGCAGGGCATATCTGAAGCAGCCCGGGCCCTTGGAATATCGTTCATCACCATTGGCCTTTCTAAGGTTGCCAATCAAGCCAAACTGCGTTCGATATCTGGTGATTCACCCGGGAAGCCTGTGCTCATCCTCAACGATCCCAACCTGTCAGACAAAATACGGGACCAATTGGTAAGTAATATTTTTTTAAGGGTTCTTCTTCTAGGAATAGTTTCGTAGACACGTAGAGTGGGGAGGGACCACAAGGCTCACCTAGTCCAACCCCCTGCAATACAGGAATCTTTTTGCCCAACAGGGGGATTGAACCCACAGCCCTGAAATTAAGAATCTCACACTCTACCAACTGAGCTATACCACAGCAATAGTAGTCACCAACGACAGGGCCTTTTCAGTAGTGGCATCCCAGTTATGGAACAGCCATTCCAGGGAATGTTGCCTGGTGATCTTTTTGGTGCCAAATTAAAGCCTTTCTGTTTACCTAAGCCTTTTAAAAAACCTGATGTGGCCTGGGCCTCTCAGTTTTTAAATCTGAGGGGGTTTTCTTTAATTTCGAGGGTGCAATGATTTCATTTTTTGCTTATTTTGATTGTATGGATTCATGCCTAATAATAATAATAATATTTTATTTGTACTCCACCTATCTGACTGGGTTGCCCAGCCACTCTGGGTGGCTTCTTCATATCAAAATTGTTTTTCTTACTCATTGATTGTAAGCCACCCAGAGAAGTTAATGTTATGAATTGGCATACAATGGCTGCAAATAAATGAATAATTAAGAAAGAAGGACTTGTAAGGAACCAATGTTTTAGCATGGCAGCATCAACACTGTGTGTTGTCATCTGGCTAGCGCTTTCACTGTACTCTTTTCAGCACCTGCTCAAAACATTGATGTTTAGGCAAGCCTATCCAAACATGCAGGGATGCGGGATGAGGGATGCGGGTGGCGCTGTGGGTTAAACCACAGAGCCTAGGACTTGCTGATCAGAAGGTCAGCGGTTCGAATCCCCATGATGGGGTGAGCTCCCGTTGCTCAGTCCCAGCTTCTGCCAACCTAGCAGTTCGAAAGCACGTCAAAGTGCAAGTAGATAAATAGGGACCGCTCTGGCGGGAAGGTAAACGGCGTTTCCGTGTGCTGCTCTGGTTCGCCAGAAGCGGCTTAGTCATGCTGGCCACATGACCTGGAAACTGTCTGTGGACAAACGTCGGCTCCCTCGGCCTATAGAGCGAGATGAACGCGCAACCCCAGAGTCGGTCACGACTGGACCTAATGGTCAGGGGTCCCTTTACCCTTTACCTTTATCCAAACATGCAGAAGTTTTGTGCAGCTACCGTTGATTTAAAATAATCTTTTGGATATTTTTAAATGCTTGTTTTTAACTGGTTTTTTTTTTGGTAATTTCAATATTTTACCCCCCCCCCCATAAACAGCTTAGAGGGTTTTGTTTTTTTAACAAAAAACCCAATCCAGTGGTATATAAATTTCGATAAATAATAATCAAATGGTCACTCAATCAATATGGTGACCAGGAATGACTTTAGCCATGTAAGCTCTCCAATCCTGCTCAGCTCCTGTGACACGCGGTGGCTTGAAACAGTAGCATTCCAGCCTTGTGCCCATTCAGATCACACACAACTCTTCTGCTAACTTTAACATATGAATGGGGCAGCACATGTTATTGGGAACATTCACGTGGGAAAAGAGGGCTTATGTTGCTCAGGTCTTATTTATTCATTTATTTAGAACATTTGTACCTCATTCTTCAGCCAAAAATGCTCCCAGAGCATCTTACATGCAATCAAAACATGGCAGACCCTACCCACAGGCTTACAACCTTAAAAATGGAAATGACACACACGGGAAAGGGAACAGGGAGGGAAGAGGAGAACCCAAATCCCAACTCTGGCACCAATTTCTAAACAGCCATTTCCATAATGACCAGGTGGCACAGTTCAGGGGCAGGAGGTGCCTGATGGCGATGAGACGAGCACTGCTCCATAACTCTTCCCCCGACTGATGGAAAGTCTGCCCCCGGGTTGACTGTTAGGGGAGAGGAGGCCTGATGGAGCTGGCCTGTCACAGCAGAGCAGATGCACTTGAGTTCTGCTTCCCAGCTCTCCCACTGCTGGAATGGCTGCCTGCAGGTGATGGTTGCAGGCAGAGGAGGCCTGATGAAGCTGGTCTGTCATAGCAGAACCTATGGAGATCTTCCCCCATGGCCAGCAGTGGCCTGTGGCTCAGGTGAATGAAGCCTTGTGGCTGGAAACAGAAGGAGGGAAGAATGCTCTTGTGGTCAGGTTGTGCTCGTGGGCTTGCCAAAGACAACTGGCTGGTCAGTGTGAGGAGGTTGGGTTAGATGGGCCATTGGTGTGTGATCCAGTAGACTCTTGTTATGTTCTTATCTGGAGATGCTGGGGATTGAACCCAGAACTCTTTACAAGCAAGGCAAATGCGCTACTACTGAGCTATGCCCCTTAATTATACCATGGCATAATGAGAAAGATTAGCAGTTTGCTGTCAAATAGAAACACAGAAGAAGAACAGGATGCGGTAAGGTCAGACGGCAAGAAATATTAGACATTGTAGAAGACCGAAGCTCTCAAGGGAGAACTGGATGCGGAAGTTGTGAGAATACATACATGACAAATAAGGAAATGAGCCTCTAGTGGCTCATTAGAAGAAAACATATTACGGAAAGGAATAAGTGAGGCAGACGGGATTTGTTCTGATCTTCTAATAGTCAGCTGGGTTTGAGCCTTGCTGTTCCATTTTACATATTCATACTCACCACGAAGTTTGGGTAAACAGAGCTAATGACTCTATCATATCAGGTTTACTTCGGTATTTCCAGAAGTGTTTTTCCTGCTGCATCTTGACTTTTTATGATATTGTTTTAGTAATGCTTATTCTTCCAATATGTAAGCAACTTTGTGAGATTTACCTGAAAAGCGATTCATAAATGCCTGAAATAAACATTGTTGTTAACCTGACAGATCTAAGTTGAAATGGCATGTCATGCTAATATATATATATATTTAATTGTTTTATCTTCCAGGCAACTCTGTTTGATGAGCGGGTAAGTTGATCAGCTTTTGAGTATTCAGTGGCATGTCCATCATCCCTTCCATTTCCAATGTTCAAGCTGTGAGTGCCGTTGCCTTTGTAGTCAAAACAGCACCATTCGCACATGCACAACCATGAGGTATCAACAGGCACGAGGGGGAAGGTTTGCTGAAGTACAAAAAAAAGATCTTTAAGGGGGAAGCTTTAGAATAGAGGGATGAAGGGACACAAAAAAACACACAGACCAATGACTTGAACATGTTCTGTGACAATGACATGCTAGATTATTGTGGGGGGGTGGTGAAGAAAACTGGGTGGGAAGAGGAATGAAATGGAGAGTATGGACTCCTGATCAGCAGCTCTGCACACTGCAATGTTTTGTTGCAGGTCCCACTTTTCATGGGGAAATATATGCTGATTCTCAGATAAAATTTCCCTGCAAAAAGATAACGTCCTCATAAGAAAAAGGGGTGCACATGTGCACAATCATGTGATTCCTCCATGATTCAGCTGGCCCCACCCCCCAAATACATGCCATCGCTACCATCATCATCAACTTGCGCTCTTTCCAACCAACACAACCCAATATTGCCATTCCACTGAATGGCACATGCGCTGTTAGAAATTAGCCAGGTGCCAGGCGCGTTTTGCTTCTGGTGTGGTTCCAACTGCAACTACGTGGAGATTTCTGGGCGCAAGGCTGGCAGCCACAGTTTAAAAACCTCTGCCTTCATCCATCATTTATACCATTTCCATTTCCACTTTGTGTGTTTCTCCTTGAGTACTGGGACAAGTGAATTGTTGTAAGAGCAAGCTGCAGTCAAGCAATGTAGCTGAGATCATAGAATCATAGAACTGTAGTATTGGAAAGGACCCCGAGGATCACCCACAGATCAGCATAAACATGGAACTCCCCCCCCCTAATGTTATCTTTTGCTGTGTATACACCATATATTTAAAGCACATTCCACACACACCACACAGAATCCCAGGACCTGTAGTTTTTACCTCTCACAGAGCAACAGTTCCCAGCACCCTTAACAAAATAAGCTTTACGTAGAATTTACTGAAAGGAAGGGAACCTAACTTAGGCATGTTAATTAACTTCGATGGGTCTGCTGTGAGTAAAATATAGTCCGCATCCACACCATACATTTAAAGTGCTATGATACCACTTTAAACAGTCATGGCTTCCCCTAAAAAATTCTGGGAGTTGTAGTTTGTTCAGGGTGCTGAGAGTTGTTAGGGGGTATCTATTCCTCTCCCAGAGCTACAGTTCCAAGAGATCGCTGTGAAGAGGGATTGATTGACCCACATTTCCCAGGATTCCTTGCGGGCGGAGGGAGAGGAAAATGTTCTTTAAATGTATGGTGTGTATGCAGCTTTTATCTCTTTAAGAGGAATAGATCAAACAGAAACAGCATGGAAGTGGTTTTTTTTCTCTGAGAGGCCCAAGCAGCTGTGCAAGGACTAAAGGTCAGGAGCATTCCTCCTTTTCAAGGTGGCTGCCTGGGCCTGTGGGACCAGAGGAGCGGATGCAGGGGTGGGAATCGGAGTGACTTGTTCTCAGAAGCAAGAAGCCAACAGAGGCATGAAAGGGAAGTTGCAAGGGAAGGGAACAGAAAAGATTTCATTCCATTGGGGAATCAAGGCCACTTTGGATGCGACAAAACTTCCCACAGGGGAAGCACTTCTGTGTAACCAGGCAAGATGCAAGATGATAAAAGCACATGTGCTTTTGCCTGCGCATGAGTTTTGCATGTTGAGAGCTGAGCTAGATGTCATGGATCCAGGTGATCTACCAATTTCCTATCAAGTGTGAGAAGGGGTGTGGATTGCTCTTTAAGGTGGGCAGTAGTGTGGTATGCGTGTTCAATTCTTCTCATCCAGTTTTCTCCCAGTGGGGTTTTGATAGTCGTCTGAAAATTGGGGCGGGGGAGTATTTTGAGAGAAGATCACATCAAATAAATGTCTCCTGTCTAGCCCCCCTGGGCTTTAACTTGCCCCCAGACTTCAATGGAAATCTGCACTACCTACAATGTGGCACATGGGTTGTGTTGCCATGACATCTAGTCAGTCTCTTAGAAATTGTAATTGCATTTTACTGCCTGGTGCATGGACACTGTGATACCCATAGCTATACCCACACCCAACACACTTTTGTGGGCCTCATGTAGCCAGTCTTTGTGGGTGATTGCCACTTAACTTGTGTGCGTTCCCATAAGGACCAGGGTTCAACTTCGATGCTACCCTTGGCTTCAGAGGCACTCAGAAGAAGCAAGACCTTTCACTGTTTCCAAGTGGCTCTGAAGCCAAGAGTGAGGACAAGCTGGAGATCACGCTCTTCTTCTTAAGTTCCAGGCTAAGGAGAAGGGCAGGCACTTTCTGTATGGCCTTGCGCTGAGCCTGACTTTGTGCAGGCACCAGAGCTCTACATCATATAATAGACAAGACACTTCCCTTCTCCTGGGGTCCAGTAAGAACTTCTTTCTGATTATGGGAGCCGCCAAAGTCCAGCATTACGTCAGAGATGAGACTTAACTCCAGTTCTCCATTTCTGGTGGATAGTATCAGGTTTTCACCAGACTAATGAACCATTAGTATCCTGGGACAATTTGGGACAATTACGTTCATAGTTGGAAAGGTGAAATTCTAACATTGCTGTTTCTGTTGAACCTGTAGTGTGAGCAAAAGAGCTGTGAATGCGAGAAAGGGAGACCGAGGACCTCCAGGACCACCTGTGAGTATATATGATGGGCAGTAGGAACCTTCAGATTTCCTGCTTATAGTTTATAAGAGCAAACTATCACACATAAAAGCTTAAAGGAATATAATATGTTTAAGTGTGCCTTGTTCACTCAAGAAGAAAGTATAAAAAGCATCACGTTTAGTTAGGCTGACCATGCATGTGTTCTGCTTTACAGGGTAAAGGTAAAGATAAAGGGACCCCTGACCATTAGGTCCAGTCATGGCCAACTCTGGGGTTGCGACGCTCATCTCGCTTTATTGGCCGAGGGAGCCGGCATACAGCTTCCGGGTCATGTGGCCAGCATGACTAAGCCACTTCTGGTGACCCAGAGCAGCGCACGGAAACGCTCTTTACCTTCCCGACAGAGCAGTACCTATTCACCTGCTTGCACTTTGATGTGCTTTCGAACTGCTAGGTGGACAGGAGCTGGGACTGAGCAACGGGAGCTCACCCCGTTGCAGGGATTCGAACCACCGACCTTCTCATCAGCAAGTCCTAGGCTCTGTGGTTTAACCCACAGCGCCACCTGCGTCTGCTTTACAGGGTACATTCCTCCATTTTAAGGAGTTCTCTGTTTGACAGACTGTCCAGTCCAAATGTGGTTTAAAGATAAAGAACTATAGGAAGGGAGAGAAAGCAGGGACCTTGTAGTTATTCATCAACATTTAGGACCCGGGCAGCTGTCTGAGCATGGACACAGGTCACCTGGTCACACTCTTCCCCACTTTGGAGCCATGCATAGCATTTCAGTTCCAGTAATGATTTCTAAAATTGCATCGATTCACAGAAATTGGGGTGTGCAAACTTTATGCAACTCTATGTCCTCTCAAAACAAAGAGGGCATCTGCTATATTAATGATATTTCTCTCTCCTTGTCCCCTCAAGGGTGGTCATGGTGGCAGAGGAGATAAAGGTGATCGAGGAACTAAAGGAGAAAAGGTAAATCACCACGAACGCCTCCCTTGTACTCTTACAATGGCAATGGGGCCTGCCTGAGAGGTGCAAGAACTGAGTTCCAGCAAGTTCCAGCTGAGAGAGAAAAATGCCCTGATCTTGACTGTTACATTTTTTAATAAGACTATGGTCAAAGTTGGGTGTAAGTGTAGTATAAAAGGAAATAATATTTCCAAATATTTTCACTGGTTTCTACCTTTTTTCCAGGGTGAGGCTGAGAAAGGAGAGCCTGGAGAAAAAGGTGCAGAGGTACGTGAATTATTGCTATTTCCAATAATTCAGTGTGAAGTGTGTTTCTGCTTTGTCACAAGCCCTGTTCTTTAATCTGTCTCCTCCTCTGACTGTCCTCTGTTTCTTTTGATACGCTCTTTTGTCACAGTGGGACTTTGCAAGCAGAGTCATCATCGTAGCTCCTTTTGCGGCCTTTAACTTATCATCTCAGACGTCACAGCAGCCTATGCAAGACTTAGCTGCGCTGCCCAAGGTTAAGAAAGATCAAGGTGGAGTTGTGTCTAACCACAGCTGGTAGGACAAAGGCAGGGAGCCCAACAGTGAGTTGGAGACAGAGCTAATGGTGGGAAGAGCCAACTAATGACAGTTTTGTCTTCTTCATTGCTGAGTTCTATAAGGGCAATGAGGAGACTAAGGAGGAGGAGGAAGCTGATAGGCAGTTCTTGCCCCTGGGCTGGTACTACCTAAGTCCTAAGAAGACAGGCAGATGGGGCTCGCCAAAGGCAGACTGAGATTGGTGGGGCAGTGTTTCATTTGCCCAAATGAACAAGCCTCACTGGTTAGAGTGCTGGACTATGACTGGAGAGACTCAGATTCAAACCCCCACTCAACCATGAAATTCACTGGGTAATCTTTGGCCATTCTCTCTATCTACCTTACCTACTTCGCGGCGTTGGGAGAACTGGGTTAACTGCCTTGACCTGCTTGGAAGAACGGTAGGTAGTAAATGTAATGCTGAAGATATTAATCATAGTATATAGCGAGGTCTACAATCACAATGTAAATCAAGTTGCCAGTGGTATTGAAACAGTGGGTCTTTAAACGGCACCTCCAAGAATTGATGGATTTTGAAATCTTTGGAAGAATGCTTATGTATGTGATGTATAATCATTGCCTCACTATCCTATAGAAATAGCAGTCTGTCTTGCATGTGGAAACGCTAATGCTAACACTTCCTTTCTCTCTGGATTTTAATGAAGGGAGCCAATTTGTTAATTCACTTCTTTGCACATGAATACTGCCTTCCTCCAATTAAATGAATGGAGAGAGCTCTGTGTGAAGATCAGAAGCATGCTACACACACACACACACACACACACACACTCTTCAAAGGATGGCATTTCATTCTTTCTCCAACCAGGTTATTACTCTGACCTCCATGCTGATTAAATAGCATATCTATTTATCATATTCTTGACATTGTATTAGTCATGTTAAAATAACTTTGTTTTGTTCTTTTAATAGGGAGGTGCTGGTTATAAGGGAGACAAGGTGAGATGATGCACAAATGCTTACTTATATTGCCATATTAAGCAGTTTATAATTAGATGTCTACAAAGACAATGCATTAAAAATATAGGGGATGAGTTGTAAAAGAATAATATTAATAGAACCAGATGAAAGAAGGAAGAGATATGAATACAGTCCATAAAGTTTCACAAGCTAGAGTCTTTTGCACTGTAAGCTTCTTCAGAGTGTTCTTTAGGATCCTGCTCTGGACTGAAAGAGGCTGGTAAGGACTAGTAGGATAGAAGGCTTAGAGGACACACCGGTCAGGAAACTTCAGAACAACTTAATTCTCTCTCTCTAACAAGAACAGAACAGTAGCAGGAAACCCCTAACTCCAGCCATATATGACTAAATTCAGTGCCACTTAGCAACTAAGCTGCAGAATGACCCTATCAACACAGGGCAGGCAGATTGAAGTTTTGATAATTTAGATCAAGGGCAGCAAACCTCTGGTCTTCCAGGCATTGCTGAACTACAACTCCAGTCAGCCCCACCCAGCATAGTCAGTGGTCTGGGGTGATGGTACTTGTAGTCTAGAGCCACAGGTTCCCAACCCTGATCTAGATTGTCAGAATAACTAGAGAATGTGACATTTCAACTTCCTATGCAAAAACAAATTTCAATGAAGCATCACCATGAAATCATGCCAATAATATATACTTTTTGCAGGGTGAGAGAGGAGAATGCGGAACACCAGGACTAAAGGGAGACAGAGTAAGTACCGTAAACAACTTGCCATATGCATACATACAAGCTGCGTCAAAATTCTGTTCAGAACACTGTGTGAAAATGCAAAGAGTGTTTTTCTTAAAATGGCAAAAGGCAATTATAACTGTTCTCGTTGAACCTACAGGTGTTGGTGGAAGGTTAGTTAATTGTTAGCCTGAAAGCATTTCATCAAGGGAAATGGATCCAATTGGTCAAAGTGGACCAGTTTGATTCTCTGGGAACACTGTGGCAATAGTCAGACTGTTTCAGACCTCTATGGGTTGCTTTGAGATTCCGCTGCCTGAACAGGCTTTCCTTGGCCTGATTGAGAATTTCCATACCTCTCTAGATTTGTAGTGGCCTATAAAATAAAGGTGCTTAGCAAACATACATAAATAGAAGAGTGTCATGTTCTGGCTCCAAGGGGCGCAAGGAAGCAAAGCAGGTTGGTTGGTTGGTTGGTTGGTTGTTGCAGCAGCACCACAGAGAGCTCCTGGTGAGCAACTTGCTCCAACTCAGACAGAAAATAAACTGGGGCCTTTTTCGTCACCATTTCCAGTCCACCTTTCTTAAACTCCTATACTTTAAGGACCACTTTGCTCTATATGCTCCAAATGGATCACTAAATCACTTGAGGGAAGCACCATTAGTGGTCTCCCATGGACTCACGTCAACAAGTAGTTTAACAACCAGTCCCAGGGAATGGTAGCTTTGTGAAGGGAATAGGGGCCTCCTAACAGCTCTCAGCATCCTTAACAAACTACAGATTTCATGATGCTTTGGAGGAAGCCATTACTGTTGAAGTGGTATCACAGTGCTTTAAATATATAGTGCAGTCAGGTCTGTTATTTTCAGTGAGTGTCCTCTGAGTAAAAAATAATTGAATACCACCCTATGTTTTAAATTTTGTAGGCTTTTTTGTTGCTGTAAGAAACATGAGGTATATAAATTTCTTAAATAGATACTCTGCCCCCTTTTGGAGAACTAGGGCTAACTTGCTAAAGACAAGACCTCCTCCTTGGTGTGCTCCCACCTGCACCACTGAAGTTGTGAGGAAGGCTCTCAGTTTCTCAGGTCTAGGAGAAGGAAACTGTGATGATCCTGGTGTCATGGGGTTAGTTTGATCAGGCCTGTAGCCTCTGGTTCAGTGCTTCACCAGTCACTAGCATCAGGCCTGGAGCCAGGAACCTGGTCCAGCTCCTTAGCCGGTGACACTGTAACCTCCAACTTAATCTCCAAGTCAGTACTTCACTTATGGGTCACAACAAGGAGCTGGAATTGGGCAACCAAAAAAATCAGTACATCTAATATAAATATAAAACAATCCAAATTCAGCCTGAATTGAGAATGAACTGTGGCTTTCCAGATGTTGCTGCTCTTCTGTCAGCCCCCAACCAGCATAGCCAATCTGCAGGGATGATGGGAGTTCTAGTCCAACAGCATCTGGAGGGCCACAGGCTCCTCATCCCTGATCCAGACTCAAATTTGATTGGCCTGTTTTGTTTGCTCGGTCTGGTTTTTGTGGTTGCCGAGAGAGAAAACTAGTGCTTAAATATTTTGTTAAGAAGGAATCCATGTGAACTGTCAGATTCTTAGTTCTTATAGCTCCATACAGCAGTGTCAGTTTGCACGGTTAGCAGGTGAAGACATTGTAAGGGAGGATGTGAAATGTACACATGTGCGAAGTTAAAAGAAAATTAGTTAGCAGCTGGCAGTTAAAATGGAAAGGGGAGAAAATGGACATAAAGACCATATGTCGAGATTGTAGAAATGTAAGGAAATAGCATTTTAGTTGTTGTTTGTTTTTACTGAGGGCAAGGAAGGAGAAGGCATTGAACATCTGTAAAGGATTAAAAGGCCATAATGGATTAAGCACTTGCAGAAACTTCTGAACAGGCCAAAGTTCTCATCACCCACAAGATTCCCACTTACAACAGGAGATGAAGCGGCATTGCCAAAAATGAATGAAGAGTTTTTTTAAAAAGAAAGAAAGAAGAATAAGAGGCAGCAATCATGCCAGTGGAAAATGAGCAGACATGGAGAACACACAGCAGAAGCACAGAGCAAAAGATTGGGACACGCAGCACTAATATTCTGGAGCACATTTATGATCTGGAAAGATCAGCACAGCAGTATAATTGACTGTACTGTTGGGTGTCCCAACAAAATGTAAAAAAAAAGAGAAAGAAAGGAGAGAGATTTATTGCATAGTATTCATCAGTGTTTACTGGTGTTTCCCACTGCCCAGAATTCTGGGTTTCCCTAAAGGGCAGTCAGCGGAGGGTACAGCTTTTATATTAGCTGAAAATGCAAATAACTGCTGGCTGTTTGAATTCAGGTTGGATGTGGATCGTGTGCACAAGTCTGCAGAGGCCAAGCTTAGCTTGTAATTGTTTCCATCGCTGGTTTTGCTTCCTTGATGCCCAACGACTCACAAGTTCAAAGGGGGCCACTTGAGATAGCAAGCAGCTGAGGCTAAAGCTAAGGACGAGAGTGATGCTCCCAAGGGAGAAGGGCACATATTTTGACCACAGAGTTCCACCCCGGCCCCCATCCCTCCCCTCCTTTAGCCTAGGAAATGATTGATTTTAGGATGGAAGAAAACATGTACTTGTCTGGGAGCATTTTTATCCCCCTTTTCAGTCAAAGAAGGCTCCCTGAGCAGATGAGCGATAAGATGGTTCCTGTAATCGGACTTTCCATTTAAAAGATGTGACATGAAAGGGGATTGAGAGGAAGAAGAAAAAATAGCAAACTTCAGCATTAGTTCTTAGATATGAATGATTGACTTTATAACTTGTAAGTCATTAGCTATACACAGAGTAGACCCATGGAGGTTAATGGGCATGACAAACTCAGGTTCATTCATTTCAACGAGTCTGCTCTGGGTGGGATTTAATTGGCTACCATTCAGAGTCCCCCCCCCAATGACCAGATCAAATGGAAACAGCTGGAGAAAAACAGGAGCCAAAAGCTGCTGGTCTCTCAGCAGGGTGGGTGGCGGGTCCTGCTCCCCTTCCTTCCCCCTGGGGCAGGCTGATGGAATGACTGCTGCCAGGTGACACTTCGTGGATGGAGGTGGCTTCTTTGAAAAGCCCTGCTTCCTTTCCTCTTCTCTGCTGCAGACCGATATTCCACCTATCCAGATACACTTTCTCATTTTTCAGAGACTCCATTCCCAAACCAAGGCATTATTGCTAGGAGAAAGAAAATGATCTTGCATGGTCTGCATAGCAACTTAGAGAGAGAGAAGCTTATATTGACGTCTGTTCAAAATATATTTTGCGATTGATCTGTTTTAAAACCGTCATGGCTTCCTCCCAGAAACCCTGAGATTTTTAACTTCCTAAGGGTGCTGAGCAGTCTTTGTTTTCCCCTTCCTTCCCTTCTTAGAGGGTAACAATCCCCAGGAATACTTGCCCTGCTCTGATGACAACAAACAGGGGAACAATGGAGATGGGGAGGAGCAGAATTGCTCCTGTAGGTCCTTTCACAGCCTATGCCATGTACAATGTTGTGCAGGCTTTGTACAAGAGATGAGGAACCCTACAAAAAACAGCAGCCTCACCAGCTACATTTTGAGAACCTGAACACGTGCAACTATACAGGCAATAGGTTTGGGATTTGCTACCATGGTCCTGTTTTCTCCTTTGCACATTCAGCTAAAGCTGCTTATATTTTGAGTGCAGTGTGCAACATGATGCTGAATATTTCCCAACATAGATATACTAGAACAGCCTTTGCCAACTTAGTGCTCACCACATGGTTTGGACTGCAACTCCTATCCATCCCTGGGCCTCATCATGGGACTGAAACTGCCTTGGTCGCACTGGTTGATGATCTCCGGCGGGCTAGGGACAAAGGTGAGAGCTGTTTCCTAGTTCTGCTGGATCTCTCAGCGGCGTTTGATACCATCGACCATAGCATCCTTCTGGACCGTCTTGAGGGGCTGGGAGCTGGGGGCACTGTTATACAGTGGTTCCGCTCCTTCCTCCTGGGCCGTGTTCAGAAAGTGGTGGTGGGGGATGAGTGTTCAGACCCCTGGGCTCTCACTTGTGGGGTGCCTCAGGGTTCTGTCCTCTCCCCCATGCTTTTCAACATTTACATGCAGCTGCTGGGAGAGATCATCAGGAGGTTTGGGCTGGGTGTTCATCAGTATGCGGATGATACCCAGCTCTACCTCTCTTTTAAATCAGAACCAGTGAAGGCGGTGAAGGTCCTGTGTGAGTGTCTGGAGGTGGTTGGAGGATGGATGGCGGCTAACAGATTGAGGTTGAATCCTGACAAGACAGAAGTACTGTTTTTGGGGGACAGGAGGCGGGCAGGTGTGGAGGATTCCCTGGTCCTGAATGGGGTAACTGTGCCCCTGAAGGACCAGGTGCGCAGCCTGGGAGTCATTTTGGACTCACAGCTGTCCATGGAGGCACAGGTCAAATCCGTGTCCAGGGCAGCTGTTTACCAGCTCCATCTGGTACGTAGGCTGAGACCCTATCTGCCTGCGGACTGTCTCGCCAGAGTGGTACATGCTCTGGTTATCTCCCGCTTGGACTACTGCAATGCACTCTACGTGGGGCTACCTTTGAAGGTGACTCGGAAACTACAACTAATCCAGAATGCGGCAGCTAGACTGGTGACTGGGAGCGGCCGCCGAGACCATATAACACCGGTCTTGAAAGACTTGCATTGGCTCCCAGTACGTTTCCGAGCACAATTCAAAGTGTTGGTGCTGACCTTTAAAGCCCTAAACGGCCTCGGTCCAGTATACCTGAAGGAGCGTCTCCACCCCCATCCTTCTGCCCGGACGCTGAGGTCCAGCGCCGAGGGCCTTCTGGCGGTTCCCTCATTGCGAGAAGCAAAGCTACAGGGAACCAGGCAGAGGGCCTTCTCGGTAGTGGCGCCCACCCTGTGGAACGCCCTTCCAGCAGATGTCAAAGTGATAAATAACTACCTGACATTCAAGAGACATCTTAAGGCAGCCCTGTTCAGGGAAGTTTTTAACATGTGATATTTTATTGTATTTTTGGTTTTTATGGAAGCCGCCCAGAGTGGCTGGGGAGGCCCAGCCAGATGGGCGGGGTATAAATAATAAATTATTATTATTATTATTATTATTATTATAACCATCTGGAGATGACTAGGTTGGCCAAGGCTGTGGTAGCCCATTGACAAACCCTAGTTTCAGGTCAGAGATCTGAAATGGACAGAGCATGGAGGAGCAACCAGTAAAGGGGAAATTTAGACAAATCTACCTTACACCTATATGTGCAGATAATAGCAACCACAGCTGCAGGGAGAGAGCTGAGAAGTGTTTTAGTGAGCCTTGGCTGAATCAGAACTTGCAATTAATCTTTCTATTTTTGTTTTATTTAAACAGGGGCTAGAAGGCCCTTTTGGCCCAAAGGGACCGAGAGGACCTCAGGTAAGTTTGTTTACAACCTAATTCTATGTGAAGATTATTATTTGTTTGCATTATTCAACTCCAGGGGACGTTTGGCTTGTGATATGTGGATTACTTTGGCTAGAGGTGGTCAATCTGTGCCCGGGCTATACTTCAGCAGAACTAGGTGGACCTTCTCCTGTTCCATGTGCAAAATATGACTGGACTGATAGCAGTTGAACACTTGTGATGGAACAGCATCTTCCACCACACCTGAGGGCAGCACACCCAACTCTGTCTTCCAACATCACACACACACATCACTGTACACACAGGTCTGTCCTACAACAGTTCACCACTACTGCTTGCCCAGCATCATCTGCAACTACATTCTGCTGAATGATAGAGCCGGCCCTACATTTCAAGATACATGACTGAATGGCCCTTTATGTGAGTTCCTCCCTCTCCAAAGCCTGAAGAGATGCAGCCTCTGTACATTTATCACCTCACTGTCTGTGTATGCATCAGTTGTTGCTTGCCGGCATTCCCTGCTCTGTATCAGAACTGACTTGAATAGAAATGTCAAGGGGATGAAGTTATAGGACAATTAAAAATCAGTAAGTCACCAGGGCCAGATGGCTTATGCCCAAGAGCTCTTTGAGAACTTGAAACCAAAATTATTGATCAGCTAACAAAAATATGCAACTTACCGCCACAGTGGGCCTCCTTACCAGAAGACTGTAAGATAGGTAGATAAACACCAGTTTATAAAAGGTAGGCGGAGCAGAGCCAGGAGATTACAGACCTGTCAGCCAAACTTGGCCTCCAGATGTTTTGGGACTACAACTCCTATCATCCCTGACTACTGGTCCTGTTAGGTAGGGATGATGGGAGTTGTAGTCCCAAAATATCTGGAGGGCTGAGTTTGCCTATGCCTGGCCTAACCACATTTCTTGGAAGCAGTTATTAAAGTTAACCCCCTCTCCCGCAATAATAAGTAAATATGAGAAGAACAAGTCATGCTGAAGAAAAGTCAGCATGGCTTCTACAGCTGGAAAAGTAGAGTTTGGGGGGAAGGATAGTAACAATAAAAAATCCAGTGTCATAGTGTTCTTATATGACTCTATAGCTGTGACCAAAAAAAGCATATTGTGTCATTGAGTGAGGCACATTGTGTGATGATCCAAGATATGATCATTTCCATGACAGCACCATAGGGCTCCCTCCCTTCTGGAATATGGTTGATGCCATCTATGTCCACCTTTCAATGACAATTAAAAGTGTTTTTATTCTCCCAGGCTTTTAGTGAAAACTGATGGGAGAAATTCTGTTGGCTATATCTGCTGCTGTAATGCTACCGGAATGATTTTGGTTACTGTTGCTGTACTTTTGTGGGGGAAGGTCTTGTTAATGGCTGTTGACTGCTGTTCTACATTGTGTTTGAGTATAAATTCTCTGTGTGTGTTTCTGTCCAACAAACCCTGTTAGTAGCTTTTTAAATTGGTTTAAATTTGACTAATTGACAGACACACTGAAATTAATGGATGGCTACCTTAAGTCTATTGGTTACAATGGGTTTACTTTGAGTAACACTTAGTGAGATATAACCCATTGGTAGCTACCATGGAATCACCAAAGTGATGGATGGGATATAAATGCAAGCAATAAAAATAGATAAAACTGAAGATATATATCTGAATACCAGATACGGGAAACAGCAGGAGAGGGCTATTGCCTTCACACCCTGCTTGTGGGCTTCCTGGAGGCATTTGATTGGCTGTTGCTAAGAAACCAGATGCTGGGCCTTTATTCCGACCCCATAGGCCTCTTATGTTCTTATATGGCTCAGTGGCAGCATATCCTTTGTATCCAAGGAACTGAAGCAATGGAGAACTTTGTGCTGTTCTGTTCTTGAAATGTACAGCTTTCCTTCTGTGTGATTATTTTTAAAAGCTGTCATTCTCAAGGGGAACCTGCTATCAATCTCCTCCTTGTCACAGTGTCCTGGTTCTGTAGCTACAGTGCTGAGCTTAAAGTAGAACTGTGAGAACATTTTTGACTTCTCAGTGGAACTGCTGAACCCCCTTGCCAATTCTTCAGCTTTTCTTCCAGTAGAAAAATGTCTAGTATTTCTCCATAAATGCTTTGTTGTGATCAAGAGGAGTTCCCATGGTAGAAAATCATACTGCTACTGAACAGCACCAGTGATAACGTCAGGCAAGACTTAAGCAGGGATTTCCCGGAAAGTTTGATGAGTTCTTCTTATAGCACTGTTGTATAGCTATATCCCTGAAATACCGCTGAAATTGAAATTATAGTATCTTAGCAAGACTTGTGTACTTTAGCGGATCTGTACAGCTCAACTACTGTATACCCACATTGTACACTTGTTGAATGTAATGTCTGAACACCCTATATTCTTCCTGGAAATGACTTCCCGGACATTTGCACGGCAGCAGCTCATTCTGAGACTGCACTTGTTGATGTTAAGCCATGAGAAGTCTCTTCCCACAAACCGATATTGCACCCCAGAATCTGATTCTCTTTCTGCCCACAGGATATTTCTGACTGACAAGAACATTTCTGACAATGTACATACACAGTTCTCTTCTGTAAACACTGAAATCTTTGAGTGTGCAAGCTCATGTGCTTAGAGATAGAGGACAGAGTTCATATATATTCTGTACATGTCTTAGTATTGCCTTGACTGTAATATTATTTTGCTCTGGCTTCTTAACTGATCGCATGTTATTGGCTCCTACTCACTTGAAATCCTCCAGAATGTCAATATGACAAGAAGATAGTAATAAGATATACCAAGAAGCTGACTGGGTTTTAGCCATATTCCAGCAATTCCTTCAAATTCACATTGAACTCCTGGGGTTAAGAATAGTGGATACTATTCTTATTATACCCCCCCCCAAGTTTATATTATATTTATTTCATCTCAAATGTAATAGGAAGTTTGGGGGGTCTGTATTGAAAGGTACTATCAGTGTGTAGACCACTGGCCTGTGAGCATTCCAATTGGAGAATACCCTTTACCAAAGCCGTCATGGACAAAAGGAAGAAATGAGCTAAAAGGAAGGCACGTTTGGCAAATCCTCACCGTGATCAACTCCCGCCCAGAAACCTATGTCCCCACTGTGGAAGGATGTGTGGATCCAGAATTGGTCTCCACAGTCACTTACAGACTCACTGTTAAGACTGTATTCATGAAAGACAATCTTACGTGGCTATGAGTGATCACCAAAGAAGAAGGTCAGAGTCAGTTGGAAAGTTCCCCTGAACTAAGAACAAGGGAATAAAAAAGTTTTACAATGAAAATAAATATACACAGCTATGAATTCTCTCTTATTGCAAGGATCCACAGACATATTTACAGGTTTGTGTTTATTACTGAGACTGTGCCTGAGGTTATGCATAACATGCTTATTGGTAAAAGTCAAAATTCTCCTTTCTTTATCTTTCTAAAGGGAATCAGTGGCCCTCCAGGTGAGCCTGGTCCAAAAGGCATTCAAGGAAATAAGGTAAGGATTGGCAACAGAATGTGGCAGAGTGGGAGTACAGGCTGTAACAGTTTTAGGTGCGTCCGATATGTGCATGACTTGAGGCATTTTTTGAAATTTGCACTTCTCTGAAGTGTGCCGTGCAGTTCTCTCACCAAGCAATGTGCACAAACAATGTATCATATAAGAGAAAACTGCTCTGGAAAAAAATATGTATATTAGGCAAACTTGAGTGCGAAGATGTGTATGTTAGGAGAAATTCACACCAAAATGCTGACGAATTTTCACGAGGGCTTGGGTTTGTTAAAAGTGGCACATTTTGCTATCCCTAGATACAACTCTGTGTATTTCCCCCATGCCCCGTAATTGCCAATCATTGGCACGCCAGCATGTATCAATATATTTATTGTGCTACTTGGGTCTCTTTGAACATTGAATAGCTAAATATTTATAAATGCCAGGACTAGTGTTAACAATACTGTTTTGCACTTGACTGTCAAGACGCGGGAGTTTTCATGAATGCGGCCTCTATTACACTGTATGTGGGCGTTCATTATGTGAAACATCCTGGCCTTGTTTCTGAGGCAACCAGAACATTTGAAGATACAGAGGAACTGCTATATGTGGAAAGTATTTGTGACAGTAAAAGATGCTGGAATCTTGGCCTCACACAGGCTTTTTCCTTGCCTTGAATTTTCTCGTTCTTTGTTTGCTGCCTTTCGTACAGATTGCTACTGTGCCATCTCAGCAGACAAAAAAAAGAAAAAAGAAAAAAAGAAAAAGGGAGAATAAATCCCACACGTTATCAGAATCTTAAGCTTTTCCGAAACAGAATGTATTTTGATTATAATATTGATTTGATGTGCATTTTCGGGAGCAGAGACCACGTGCGGACAGGAGGGGAGGGAAAAAACACATGTCCACAACTTTTATTGGTCATAATAGCATAGGGCAAAGAGCCTGCTATAAGGCTGCCCAACTGATGGCCCTTGCCTCCAGCTCTCCTGGATGGGGACCAGAAGGGATTTGCTTGGGGATTAGGGGGCCATCCTGGCACAAGCCATTCTGGAGAGTCACACCCACAACCTGGGTGTGCGGTGACCAGCCTTAGCCCTTGGGTTCTAGCTGATGCCTTGGAGTAGCTCCATCTAAGGGAGATTCAGCTTCACCAATTGCCCATGCGTCTCATTGGCCAATCGTCTGTGATGCTGTCATACACCAACAACCTGTCTCCTACTCATTGTGCCAGTAGCAGGTATCATTTTAGGGGGTGAAACTTAATTTTTGCAAACCTCTTCATTGAGGGGTCTTAAAAATATGCTTTTCAATGTAATGAATTCAAACCTGCTATTATTTTTGTGACTGGACAACATTTTGCTTGGCAATTCTACATTTGATTCAAAAGCACATAAACTTGGTCTTGGAAAAATCAAAGAATTTAAATTTTCTGAAAATGTCAGGTAATGCAATAAATTTTTAGGTTTCTCTGCATAAAACATATCCTACTAAGCATGCAACATCACCTTGTTTCATTTTTTTCACCTTTTTATTAAATAGGACAAGTTTAAAATTATTGGAAGTTGCATTAAAAAAATATAAAAAGCATTTATCTTTATATAGTTATACACCAAGCAAAACTAAATTTAACCAAAATATCTTTTGAATGCCCAAGTCATGATACAGCTTTTCAGCATCGCTCGTTTTTGGAATCTGAAAGTTGAAAAATTCAACATGCTCTATTGTGCCAGTAGTACTAGCTACCTTAATGAGAAGAGAGAGAAGTGGAGATTAACTGGGTTATTTGTGTTTTATTTTAAACTTATTTCTTGGCTCTGACACATTTATTTGCCTTTTGTACATGCAGGGCAAGTTAGACATGATGTTAATTGTGTGAATGCAGTGACCATGCATATTTTGCAAAGAGCCTCCAAGGACAAGCTTCAGCTGCCTTAGAACCAAGTATTAGGGCCAGGAAGTAATTTTCTCTCCCTGCCACAGCCCCAACAAAATTCTCCCCTCTGAAACTGCTAACTGTATTTCAAATAAAGCTGTTATTGGGACCGGTGAATAAACCCCTCCCTGTGCTGTGATCACGATCCAGGTCGGGGGATGTCACAGCTGCAGTTGGTTGAAAGAGAATCCCAAGAATCCCAACCATGTGATTCAAAGGTGTGTTTAGAATTTTTGAATCTCTCCCTAATAATTTATTTAGAAGCCACCCTTGGAGAACAAAGTGGTGATCAAAAAGGCAATTCTGGGATATTGTATCACAGAGAAGGGAAATCAATTGACTGCATGTAACCAAATGTGAATAACTGTAACTCAGGGCCACTTTCTCTGTGTAGGTTTTATATACATTTTTAAGCAGTTGGGGTTTTTTTTGGGGGGGGGGTAGGTTTATCTAAAATTTTGGGAATTATCAAAGATGTTCTGATTACATTCAGGGCCGGATTTAGGTTTGATGAGGCCCTAAGCTACTGAAGGTAATGGAGCCCTTTATATGTCCAGCTGTCCTTTGTCAACAACAAATTGTCGCTGTTTTTTTTGTGTTGCATATATGCTATATGGTACCCTGTATATAGAAATGAGCAAACCAGTGATATTTTAGGGAGCAGGCTAGCAGGTGGGGCCCATTACTTACTTACACTGTTGCTGTATGTAGGTTTTATTTTATTTGTTTTTTATCTTATATTTTGGAAATGTGCACCCAGTTTCCCCCCCTTTAATTTTTTTTGGGTGCCCCAAGAGAGTGGGGCCCTAAGCTATAGCTTGTTTAGCTTATACGTAAATCGGGCACTGATTACATTCACTACATTTTTTAAGCACATGGTTTGTTGTGATCTTTACACATGCTGGAGCATTCAGAATAATCTCCAATCACTGGAAAAGTTAACTTGTGTTGACTTCACCATGTAAAAAGCTGTAATGTCACTTGCTTCCTGCTTAATTCCATTTAAGAATTGGTCAGTGTTCTCCATCAACAACAATAATATAGAGATAACTCCCTTGTTGTGGAAGCACTACCTTGAAACAGTGTATTTTTTATCTTTAAAGCACTTGATTAAAAAGAGTAGTATTGCCAATAATCGGCTCTTACGTTACATTGTTGTTTTATGGGCTGAAAGGAGATATAGAAAAAAGCTTTTATGAATAAATGCATTTTCAGCAGACAAATCCCGAGAGATCTCTTGCTTTCTGTGTTTGCAAAGTAAATTCGGATCTGAAACATTTCCATCCTTAGCAAAGCCTTGGCAAGTCATTATTTACAACTCCTTTATTAAACAACTCCATTATTTATCTTCTGGACTGAAAACTGTATACAAAGATACAGAAGCCATCCATTTTTTAATTAGCGGATTTTAAAGTGGAATTTGCATCTCTGCAACCTTTGGTTCTCAGACAAATGAGCTTCAGCTAGTAAATGAACTTGCCCAAGAAAGAGTTTTGCCCAGTAAAATGAATGGCTGTTTACAGCTCAATAAATACCCATTCAACTTGTAAAGGTCAGTGCCTTTTTCATGTGACTACTATGGCAGACAGATACTTAGCAACCTCTCCAAAGTCTGTTATCTTTACAGAAAGATCATTCAGTGCCCCCTTTTAGAAAAAAAGTTTCCATACACTTATGAATGAATTCAAAGTCTTGCAGTTATTTATATGGTGGACGGCTACTTTTCCCAAGTGTATAAATAATAAGTCTGTTCTCAGGACAATACCACTGGAGCAATTCAACTGCCGTGGAAGAGGTTTCCAACAAAATTAATGGAGAAGCTACCGATGGCTTTCCAACTGGGACACAAATGTGGCACATGCATTTAGGATTGCCACTGCCAAAATTTTCTGTGGGTCTCCTTAAGCACTTGATGAAGGCATCTGTTTAGTTTTGTAGGTTGTCAAGGGGAAAAGAGAATTCCATTCTCGTGAAACAAGCCAATATTGATAGCCGTGGATGTTCCCTCTGAGTCATATTCTAGGAAATTTCGATTCTGTACTAAAAATACATCCTGCGAAGCAATGAAATTAATTCGGATTTTTGGGCAGGGCTAGCCTAACTCCCAACCCATTGCAGCAGTGGGGGATAAAGATATAGCAGAAGTGTCCCTTTGTTTGGCCCTACAGGTCTGGCCTTGAGGTGGGGAGGGGGAAGCACAGGTGAGCAGATGCAGAAGCTACAAATGGTGACATCTTTACCTACGGCAGCCAGAGTAAACCCCCTGAAATATGGTGTTAGGTGGGAGAGGGATGGGACTGGTAAGAATTAGTTGGGCCACCTGTCAGTGATGGACCCAATCTGGAGCTCTCTGCTGTGCCAACCTGGGGCTGGTGCACTTGAAACATAGATGCAACGGGCATCTTCTATACTAACTTTTAAACATTTGCTAAAAACTTTTCTATGCCACCAGGCTTTCTCAGACAATTAAAACAAATATTTTCTGGAATAGTTAGCTGGTTATCTGTCATTTCTATTTTTTGTGTGATTTTAGGGACGCGGGTGGCGCTGTGGGTTAAACCACAGAGCCTAGGACTTGCCGATCAGAAGGTCGGCGGTTCGAATCCCCGTGACGGGGTGAGCTCCCGTTGCTCGGTCCCTGCTCCTGCCAACCTAGCAGTTCAAAAGCATGTCAAAGTGCAAGTAGATAAATAGGTACTGCTCTGGCGGGAAGGTAAACGGAGTTTACGTGTGCAGCTCTGGGTCACCAGAAGCGGCTTAGTCATGCTGGCCACATGACCCGGAAGCTGTACACCGGCTCCCTCGGCCAATAAAGCGAGATGAGCGCCACAACCCCAGAGTCGGTCACGACTGGACCTAAAGGGGTCCCCTTTACCTTTTACTTTAAGGTGCATTCATAATAATAATAATAGTAATAATAATAATAATTTTTATTTATATCCCGCCCTCCCCAGCCAAAGCTGGGCTCAGGGCGGCTAACAACAATAAAACAGTACAAAAGTACAACACAAACAACTCTCTAAAATCTGCTTTGATTTTTTTTTTTTAAAAAATGAAATTGTGGTATACAAATACTTTTTGTAAATAAATATGTATTGCTTTTTAAATTTGTGTCTGTCAATATACATTAGCTTCAGAATGCAAATCTATACTCCTTTTTATGGTGTTTTTCTCTGGTTTTGCTATTGCCCAAAGTGGCCGCTCTGAACTCATCCCTGACTATGCCGTGGCCTCTGGTTCCCCAGAGTCTAATCTGCTTGCACTGGCTTTGACCTTGCCTGTTTGGTTCACGTCCTTGTCTCGACACCTGACCAGCTTGAGGCACAAAGGAAACCTTGTGATTCTCAGCATTCTTGTTCTGTACAGGAGGGAAGAAGCACAGAAGTTGCCAGATGTAGCCCCTTCCCTCACACAGATAAAATGGGAGATATTTCTTTTTAAATGGCTTACATAAGAAAAACCCCAGTCTTCACCCTACCCCACCCACAATAGGCATTGCAGCCTTAGGGCTTCAGCTTAATGCCAGAAAATGTCATGGGTGCATATATGTTAATTGTATTAGCAGCTGCTGAGAATCTGGAAATAATCCAGGAGTTACTTGAAAGGGACTAATAAAGTGCATCTGACATAGCCAAGAAGAAGAAAATTCAAACAATTATATGATCTTCATGGGTAGCTTTTTTCATTTCACTTAGGAATACACGCATGGATGTACATACACCTCTGGATAATGCTGGGACAAACAAGTGTTTTAAATTAGGAAACGTTCCATTGTGCTAAATATTCTGGATGATTTCTTGTTGTACAAGCTCTTGGAAGCAGGGATATTTGGAAAGCAGAAAGCCAGCCTTGTAAGAAAACTGCCAGTTCCCGCACAAAGTGAAAACACTGGGTCAGGTTGAGAAATTTCAGATGTTGGCTTTCCGAACCTTTCCACCGAAAGAGGCCTACTGTCAATATTACAGATCTTGGAGGACGTCCTCATAAACCAAAACGAGCATGTAAGCCATGCTTTAAAGTTCTGCTGCTAAAAAAAAAGTTATGGTTCTGCCTGCGCAAGAAAAGTAAATGAGAGATGTTAAAAATTAAACCCCATCTTACTCTATGTACTAATAATGAACCAAATTCTCTTGAGTGTGGGTCTTTCTGTAGTCAACAGATCCAGGCAGAGAAATCGGTAGGCTTCAATGAACCCCAATATTTGAAATGTACAAAATGTCTTTAGGGAAAAGCCTAGAAGCAACCCACCTGAGGACTGAGCATGTCTGGTGGCCGCAGAATGCATGCTGACTCTTTGCTGGTAGAGGGCAGGGAAGAAATCAGTGGAGAGATGGAATGGAGTTTCCTAGAAAAGGGCATGTCTGATTGGCTGGAACTCTAAACAGGAGTGTACATTTTGTTGCAGGTTCCATTTTTGGGGTGAAACCTATTGTTCTTAAGGGGTGGAGAGGAGAAAGACCTTCTTAAGCCTTCCTCTCTTGACGTGCATTTGGCTGGCTGATACTTGCTATCAGAGATGCCTGACCTAGATACCTGGAAAGGGAGGTTGGGGTTTCTTTTTTTAATATCTTGATATCATTATGGATGCATCTGGACATTAACGATCCTTGTGCAATTAAGAGTTAATTTGCCTGGGGGGACAAAATCAGATGCTTTTGGAATGGAATATATTTGACCAAATGACAAAAATCTAGATACAATGTCTTCTTTTTTAGAAAGGCTGGTTCTGATGTCCTCATAGGGCTTCCTTGCATGAATCCTGTCATTGTATAGTATTTACGGTAGAAACTCTGCCAAGATCATTAGAAAGCAGACATGTATTAGCTCTCATGTTGTTCTTGGCTTTTCTTCCTTTTCCTGCTGTTGGGAAAAAAGAGATTTCTCGTTGATAATTAACATCGAAAAAGTATTAACTTTTTCACCACCAAAGCATCTGTGTGTAGCAGACTTCTGAAACCCTCACATTTCTTCCTAAGAGATTTTAGTCTAAGAAAGAACAAATCAATGGAAACTTAAGGGTGTGCCTTCTAATTTGAAAGTCCATAGTTTAAGGGTGCAATCCTATACTTGATTTCCACTGGCTGAGGGCTTCAGGATTTTGGGGGTGCCTTATTATGCTAACATGCCACCACCTATGCTTCTGTTACCACAGAAGCCCTGGTAAGGAAAGAGCTAAGTGGGACTTACTCTCAAGTAGGGATGCCAGAGACTTCCTTGGAAATGGGAGTGGAAATGGCTGCAATTCATAGAGGTCAGGAACGGAAACTATGCCAATGAATATGAGCAGTATTCACTTTTATTGTTTATTATTGTTTTAGTTTGCAGACGTTGCATAAGCAATTGCTTTGTTTTCTGCATTGGTTCTGACAGTAAAATGCTTTGAAATTAATGATTAATGATGTGATTAATTCCATAGCTAACTGTTAGTTTTGGCCAGGGCACGTAGAGAGATGCATAACGTAGGTTTTAGTGGAAGGCGAGCTGTAGCGGAATGGAAACGGTACTGAATGCAGCAAACACAGAATAGGACAGAAATTGCTGCCTCATTACATTCCAGCTTCCAAGTAAAACAGGTGTGGCATTGTAGCCTTGGAGTAGTGTGTAAATTCTGCTGAACACAGTGGAACTAATTTAATCCATTCCGAGGTACATGTTACTTTAGAAGTAAAATCCATGAGGTTCAATGGGACTTACTCTCAGGGGATTGTGTAAAGGATTGCGCCTTAAATTCCATTGATTTCACTTAGACAATTCAGCACATGCTTAAATCTTCCACACAGAAATAAATGGGACTGGATTTGTAAGCTTTGAGTCCTTACTTTCTTGCAGATAAGCTGGCATTTTCATGAATTTGACATACACCCGTTTATAAATTCAATTATGTTGTCTGAAGATGGAAAGCCCATATTGCTTCAGATTATCTCATCTGTGCAGTGCTGCTGAACTGTACCCAAACCACAGGAAATCCAGTTTCTTTGCTTTGTTATTTTAACTTCTAGCTAAAGTAAAAGCACTGAAAAAGATTCTCTGTGCTCGTTCACTGCCACATGAAGAGCGAAAGATACAACAAGAGAAACATATGTTTAAAAACAACCCAGTCATAAAGGGACTATTTCCTGGTATGGGAATAGGTTAGTGTGTCAGAACACCTGCTATTTATTGTGTTCAGTGGAGTCACACAAGGATAACTTAGGAGCCAGAGCTGAAATGCAGGGCAGAAATAGAGCTTGGGGAAACACAGCAATTCCTAGAAGCCATTTTGCTCAATCCTTGTACTCAAAGTCCAATGGGATTGTAAAGGATCAAATCAACACGGTTTTCAGCCTGGGTACTATGGATCACGAATTCATTAAATGGAATTACTTATTTACATTGTTTGCCACTATACAGACTACTCATTTGTTTATTTCTGCTTCTTTTAAGGGGGAGCCAGGCCCAGCTGGTCCTTATGGCCCTGCTGGAGCCCAGGGAATTGGATATCCAGGACCTAAGGTAATGTATAAGATCAACATTGGTAATATGCTCATGAAAACATCAATGGTTATTGGACTGTGTTGCATTCAGAACAGCAACACCTTCCTTTAAATTCTTATCCTTTAATTTTACAAGGGTGACAGAGGTCAGGAAGGAAGAATCGGGCTTCCAGGACCTATTGGGATTGGTGAGCCAGGCTTAACAGTAAGTAAAACGGTCACGTTTTTCAGAATTTTTTCCTACGCTGTTGGAATTTTTGGGTGCAGCTGATTAAAATGCAGTGGCAATGTGTATTGATTCATTACGAAGAGTAATGAACAAAAACAAAAGTAAACCATAGGTTTTCAGCTTCCTGCAAAAGAAAGTTGTGCAAGGGATCAAAATGAGACTGAGAATTAAAAATAACAGACTGTTAAAGAATTTCTGCATTTTAGCTGGAAACAAGTGGCACAATGCATTGGGCACCTCTCCTGTATAAGTCCCATTCAATTGAATGGAGTCATTTCAAGGGGACTTGTGCAGAACTTTCTAGTTTGGTATATTAAATCCACCCATTTGACATGGCCACTGGAGCTCTGATGTGGAATTCTACCGTCTGCAAGACTGTCCCATGCATTTCAACAGAGGCAATGTGTTTTCCTTAGGATCATATAATTTGCCCAAAGCATCCCTGATTATAGAACATTTATTCCTTTTTTCACGCCTTGTATTCTTGCTGTATTCAGTGCTGTTTTGTTGCCAGCAGAAAATGGCAAGGGATTGGCTCAAGGCTTCATCATGCTTAGAGCAGACCTATTGAAAACCCAGGGGTCTTAGGTTGTTTCTTTTGTTAAGGGGCCTTATTTCCCCCACCTCGTCTTCTGATGGCTGTATACTTGAATTATTAACTATAGCTTTAGCAGCTTTAACGGAGTGTATATTCTTGATCCCAACCCAAGTCTCTGGCATGCATGCAGCGGATTTAGTGCATACATGAAGCTTTGCAGAGTAGTTTCCTCTTGTGTCTTAAGCATGGAGACCTAACTTCACATGGTGTTGGGCTGGGGAAGAAAGTCAATTCTGTTCACATTGAAAGATGAACCTACCTAATTTGGGGCAACCCAGTCAGATGGGCAGGGTATTATTATTATTATTATTATTATTACTTTTTGAAACAATACACGAACTGAAACGCAGCCCTCCTTCACAATTTCCACCTCTCCAAATTTTACAGTGCAGCTCCCCAGCCAAGGAATGTATACAAAAATGCCTAGGGTGAAGTATGCATATGAATGCATATATTGGTCAAAAGGTAAAGGTAAAGGACCCATGACAGTTAAGTCCAGTCGCGAACGACTCTGGGGTTGCGGCACTCATCTCGCTTTACTGGCCGAGGGAGCCGGGTCATGTGGCTAGCATGACTAAGCCGCTTCTGGTGAAACCATAGCAGCGCACGGAAACGCTGTTTACTTTCCCGCCAGAGCGGTACCTATTTATCTACTTGCACTTTGATGTGCTTTCGAACTGCTAGGTTGGCAGTTGGTCAAAGCCATATGCAAAAATGCATTATATTAGAGGAAACTGGTTTGCAGAAAAGAGTATGTTAGGCAAAAATGACATAGAAAAACAATTATGTTAGGAGTATGCTAAAATGTTGGGGGCTACATGAGGACTACTTAAAGTAAAATCCACGAACTGATGTGGAAATGTGAACCGAACTTAAGGTTGGATAAACGAGAAACTGAAAGAAACTGAAACTGACAGATGAGCCCATCCCTGCTTAGTTGTTAAAAAGCCAAATGTGATTTGCTAATAGCATCCAGTTAAGCACCTCATATCTCTGCGATGCATTTTGTAACACTGAAGAAACTGGAGGGAAGTTCTTTCATGCACTGTGGGATCCAGGTGTAGTTCAGAGACTGATAGGGCTTTGCATCACAGCCTCTAAACACCATTTGTCCATTCAACTCCAGGGTCCACGTGGTCCTGAGGGCGTGCAAGGCGAAAGGGGACCACCAGGAGAAGGAGTTCCAGGACAGAAGGTAAATGTTTCAGTCAAAAAATTTGAGGATTTCCAGTTCACTCAATTTATTACCTCCTGCTCCACTTCTTTGAGTGAATTACTAGGCGTGCCTTTGGTTCTTCAATATCTTCTTGCCACAACTTTCCCTTCCTTTGTCTAAAATATGTTAGTATTTCCTCACTTTGTCCCAGGGTTACCATTTAAGGAGGTTGGGGGTGAAATTTATCTTTTCTATTCAGGAATATGTGTGAGAATGCCTCAGTAGTCATCAATCTCTCTGGTTAACTCTGTGTTGTTAACAAACAACCTTCATAGCGAAAATCTGACAACAGTTTAAACATCCTAAAATAACTAAATTCTAAAAAATTCACTACTGTTTTCTCTTAATCCTTCCTTAAAGAGGGCTTTCCTTGGGTCTTGTAGACCACATCAGCCAGATGTTATTGACAGTTCCTGCCTCTCAAAGCACTCCGTGGTGGTAGCTATTGGAGGTGATGGGGGTAAACACTGGTGACAAATGTTCTTTCCCCAGTCCTTCAGTTTCTTCTGTTGCTGCCTTGTTGGGTCTGTGGTGATTCCTATTCCCTAGATTTATGCTACCAAACACCAGGCCTGCGTGACTCCTTCGCAGGCAGTTAGCATTCTCCTCCCTCAGGCCAATTAGTATTAACAGCCTAGTGATTGTTATGAACCATTAATTAAATGGATCTCTGTACTAGGCCTGCATCCCAAAGCACCAGTCCCTGCTCCAAGTTTATTCAGAAAGGGGAATTGTTTGACCTAGCCCAATAATATTCCTGCAGTCGAGGAAATGCCTACAACAAAGGCTTGGTTCTATTTTTTCTGTAGCAAAGTGGGATAAAAATGTCAGAAGCAAACCAATAAATCAAATGCTCTTTGATTTATTACACAAAAGGATTTGTGTGTCTGTGGTATATGTAGAGCTTTTGTTCAGTTGGAACTCGCCGGAACTTGGTTCCGGCACCTTTTAGGTGTGTGCCATTGCCATTCTAAGAGAACAGGGAGGTGTTCATGGTGAGTTCTGGCACCTCTTTTTCTAGAAAAATGGCACTGGGTGTATGGATCAAATTTCGTGGGTTGGTAACATGGCCAACAGCCCAAATCCTTAGGAGGGCCCACAGCTGAGTCTCCAGCCAATCCAGAATCCATCTGCAGCCATCTGAGGTCAGTGGTCCTCTCAGCACTCCTTTGGAGCCTGGGTGGCTGTGGCTGGCATCCATTGTTTTGATGCCCCCACAATGTCTCTGGGACCTTGTTATGGCATCATGAGCTCTCTGGGTGTAGCGTTTAGGTTGTGACTTCCTGTCTGAAGTGGCTTCCTTTTGTAACTTCAATGAGACCAGCAGGAACCCCAGCTGTCCTCCTACTCTCAAAGTGGACTTGGTTTCTCAGCATCTTCATGCCACTCATTCTTCACCCTCAAAGACGACTCCATTTGCAGTTGTATGTTGGGAAAGCAGGGCCATCTTTACCTGGGGGTACAAGGGGTGTGGGGCACCTGGGCGCCAAATTCGGGGGGGGGCGCCAGGCACCCAACGCTGAAGCCACCTAAGCTTCTACCTGTTATGAAATAATAAATAATTTTGATCTAGCTAGAAAGACAAAATACATATATACCTAGTTATTACTGAAATGTATACCTACTGTTTCACTAAAGGACTTTCGACTTTGTGCGCTCATTTACCAAAGACATGGCGTGCTTGCCATTCACAATGGCGGCACTTGTCAGGCTCAACGGCGGTGCTTGTCATTCACATCAAGAGATAAGGCATAAGCGTGGTGTCTGACATAAGCATAATATAAATTAATTTGGGGGCTAAACTAAATTTGGGGGCACTGGGTGGATCTTTGCACCCCAGTGGTGCATATACTAAAGACAGGGCTGTGGGAAAGTCTAACATCAAAGAATGCTAGACTAAATCTCTGTGGAGACTTGCATCTTCATGGACCATTAGCAGTTTCTGGAAAATTAAACAACCTACTCATTAACATACAAGTTTAAAAATACAAAAGTGATTAACTGTGGAAATAAAAGCAGTTTTTAACGTCCTCTTCCCACATATATCCTGTCCTAGCAGATATGTACCAGAAGAGCCACAACCTCCTGGGGCTTGAGAGAACTCATTTGTTTTTCTACAATATTTTCCCCTCCAGTATGCAAATATTGCATTCCACGTACTCTAACTGAAAAGTTGCCTGCAACTTTTACAGTGTCTAGACTGAAACTAAATGCTCACCCCACTTTAATATTGCTAAAGCAAAAAAAAAATTCTTCCAGTAGCACCTTAAAAACCAACTAAGTTAGTTCTTGGTATGAGCTTTCGTGTGCATGCACACTTCTTCAGATACACTGAAACAGAAGTTGCCAGATCCTTCTATATAGTGAGAAGGTGGGGAGGGGTATTACTCAGAAGGGTGGTGGGAATGGGTGATTGGCAGATAGCTGTGATGAGCCTGTTGACGACTCTTAACGACTGCAATAGGTCTTACAGGGAAAAGCAAGGGGTGAGAAGGTGAAAAATGGCTTTGTCATGTATAATGAGATAAGAATCCAATGTCTTTGTTCAGACCAGGTCTCTCCATGGTTTTAAGTTTGGTAATGAGTTGCAATTCAGCAGCTTCTCTTTCCAGTCTATTTCTGAAATTCCTTTGTAGTAAAACAGCTACTTTGAGATCTTGTATAGAATGTCCTGGGAGATTGAAGTGTTCTCCTACTGGTTTCTCTGTCTTGTGATTCTTGATGTCAGATTTATGTCCGTTTATTCTTTGGCGTAAGGTTTGGCCTGTTTGTCCAATATAGAGAGCTGAAGGACACTGTTGGCATTTGATGGCATACACAATGGTGCATATGCTAATATTGCTGTATGTGTCCTACTACTTCAATATTGCTATGCCTGTTTTATTTCGCTACTAGCGGACTTTTAGCTACTGGAGAGGATACGCATAAATTGGTCATTGCCTGTATATAAATAATCTAGGGGTTGAAGAACTGAACCTTGCTGTGAAGTAGTTGATGCCTGGCCATATCTAATCCTATCTACATGTGTGCATTTGCGGCAGTCCTGAAGGAATGCAAAAAGAAGAAGAAGAACAAGAAGAAAAGCTTAATTCAATGCTAACGTCATGTATTTTCAGGGTGACAAAGGTTCTGAAGGGCCAGCAGGACCTGTTGGAGCACCAGGGCCCTCCATCAAAGGAGATAAGGTACGATGTGTGGAACAGAGGGTATAAATTGTCTGCTGCAGTGCTGATCCAGTAGAATGAAAGCTTATATGAAGATGGTGCCCTAGGAGTCTGAAGGACAAAGAAGAAAGTCATTGTAAAGAATGCAGGAAAAGTGTAATGAATAGTTGCCTAGATTGTTAGAGAGCCTACATAATGTCTGTGTTCAGGTATAATGGTAGACTGTGGTTTGTTGTGATGGAAATGAGCCTAGCTTCCCCGTAGCCTCCAGACTTGCACATTCCCCCTCTCAACTTCTTCTCTGGCATGGCTGTGGGGAGGAAGCTGAAAGCTTTCACTGATGATTTTGATTAGCCACAGTATAGCATTGCATGTGAACTGCATGTGTTTAATCACTGTGGTTTGTTTGAAGTCAGGTGGCTTCCTAAATCACAATTTGGAGTTGGCTTGATAGTTGATATTTACCATGGTTTGTCAGATTTGGTTGACGCGACAAGCTATGCGGAAGCAAAAGTTCCTGAACTTGTAGGCATGCTAGTGGAATAAGCGAGGAGGTGGAAGTGCCTGAGACTGGTGGGAAGTTATGTTTGTTCCCAACATGATTTATTGTGACATCCAAATGCGCCCCATGATGTCATGACCACATTTTTTCATATCATTTCGTCCTGACGAGGTCTCATTATTTCCCCAAATGTTCTCTGTCCCATGATCTTTCCCCGCGGGAGATGTTCCTTTTGAATAGCTTGTGAGCCAATGTGCAAGAATGTGGGAAATGCATTATAAACTTAAAAATAGTATGGTGATGAAGATGATGAAGAATGCCCTGACTAAAGCAATAACTTATAGGAGAGACCATATTTTCATGCAGGGTGAACGAGGGATGGATGGACCACAGGGCATAATGGGACCACCTGGAAGTGGCATCCAAGGAAAGCAGGTAAATGTACCTCAGAAGACTACTGTACCTACTTTTGACTAGGTATTTGGTTAACTTATGAACAAATCTGAGAAGGAATTGTGGATATGTGATTCCTGTTGAGGACGAGGGCATTAGGCAACCATAGCCAGGACAGATTTATTGAGCCCCTTGGAAGTCATTGCCCAGTCCTGATTCACTTCCATGTTTGGATTATGCTTTTAGCATACAAGTCATGTGTGAACAGCTCATGTAGAACACATAGCCTTAACAACAGCAGCAGCAGCAGCAGCAGCAGCAGCAGCAACAACAACAACTGTCACCCTGTTCTTCCAGGTTTATAATACAAAATATGAGATAAAAGAAAGGCTAGAATTTAATAGAATTTTTAATGGGGGTGGGGAAATAAGGAAAGTCTTAGGTTGTGTTGAACTTACAATTTACCCTGCATGCCTGTTGGTGTGCATACAAAATCACAATATGCTTTTGTGACCTACCTTTCCTTGTGACTAAAGCTTGTAAGGTCACTCCCCTTGGCTTTATTTTTAGGATCTCTAGTGTCTAAGGAAGGGCAGTTCTGATTAACTTCATACTTTTATCTCTTTAGGGCATTCAAGGTCCCAAAGGTGTGCCTGGGGTGAAAGGGTCACGAGGCATCGGTCTGCCTGGACCAAAGGTATACATTGAACTTGGAATAAATGTGTTGTACGATGGGGGGAGGGGAATCAGATTCAGTTTCAGATTTGTCCATTGCTACACAAAGATACCATACATGTGGCTGTCTCATTGCTTTTATTTGGCCCTTACAAGGACTTGACATAAATCTTAGTAAAGTATAGGTTTTAAACCATCTGTTTTGATAAGCCCATTCTTATCCACCTAAACCATCATAATGGATTAGCTTCTGGGTTGCCATATTTTGAAGAGCTGAAAAGAGGACACATTTGCTGACATCTAATTTTAACTATGGATGACAACTCTACCCATGAAAAAGAGAATGTGTCCTGGAAAAAGAGGACATATGGCAACCCTACTAGTAGAAAATTACAATTTCAGTGATCTGCCACTACATCTGCATTTCCATGACTGACTGAAAATCAAGAGCTGGGAAGTGTGTGCACAGATACTCATCAGACCAGCTTCCTGGTCAAAGATAAAACATTTCTTGAAGGATGTTATTTGATGGGAGCAATGGAAAGAAAACACAGTTCTCTCTCTTTTGAGCCACATTCCATCCTTGATCTTTGTGGGAAACATCCACAATATCAGTGGGTGATCTCAAAGACATGTACATGACCACGTTCTGACCAGCACTTAAAGCTTCTCCTCTGTTGTATTGGAGGAGTGTTCTTGCCTCAAAGCGCACAATGCCGTGTTTTAGAAATGGAACAATCACTACAGCTAGGGATGCATTAAGGCAGTGGTTTCTGTTCTGACCTGTCTCTGCCATAATTAGTTCAGTTTCTGGGAACCACTGCCTTCAGGTATTTGGATTCAAAAGAGTGCAGGCCAAAACCAGCACTTTGATAGGGATATGGAAATGTATGGGAAGTCAGTGAAGGTGAAAAAGGACCAGTGTTGTGTGCTCATGCTATCTGAACTCAGTTGTGTGCCTGCACTCTTAAGATCTTCAACAGAGGCTGTTCTTCAGTTGACCCCCTTCAGTGGATGGGTATAGCTGAAAGGGCCTACTCAGTGGTAGCACCAAGGCTGTGGAATGCCCTCCCCAGAGAAGCTTGGCACCATTTTACCTTCAGTCTCTCCCTTGGGGTTTTTAATTCTGTTGACTGCTTTCATCATGCTTTCATTTGTTTAATTGTAAGTTTAACTTTTTGTTAGGTGCTTTAAGAACCTGTTGAAGGAAGGGCTGTTGAATGAGTATACACACACACACACACACACACCCTACATTAACAGGAAATTAGGAGTAAACATTACTTAGTATGCTCAATATAAATATTTTTGTTGTTCTAAGGGACAAGAGGGTGCATCTGGACCAAAAGGAGAAGTTGGACCAACAGGAATTGGACAGCCTGGACCTAAAGTGAGCCTGTTTTGAACACTTGTATCTAAATGTTTTGAAACTGCCTTTTTAAAGGAAATGGAGTTCCAGAGCTTCCTTTCAGAGGTGTGCCTCGCTCCCTGATAGTTCAGCTTTGTAACACTGATGGCTGCTTCTTGTGATACTTTTGGAACTCTGGTATAGGTACCAGATATATTCCAGTTGCACCAATTGCTAATAGCTCGACTATTAATAGCAGTGGTATTTTTGACAAAATGCACAGAAGTAGTGGTCCATAAAGCACCAGTGCCTCACCGATTGTTGACATTATCAAGGGAAGTTAAAATAAGGAATAGATATTCAAACAACCTATGCTGAGCCCACTAGGCCACATTGTAGAATAAAAAGGATAAGGCATCCCTCCCCAACTGATCCAATGGTGTGTTCCAACTTGTTTGTTTTTTTAACCTCCTTCCAAAGGGAGAACCAGGAAGAGCAGGATTTCCAGGAGAAAGTGGGAAGCCAGGTCTATCAGGAGCATCTGGGAAAAAGGTAACACCATTTTGTTTGTCAGCCGTTTGTCTAAAACAAAAGGTCCAAGTTCGGCTTGCAGTGTACTCACCCTTGACAAACCATTCCTCAGCATAAAGACCCGCTTTTCAGCTTTCGACCTGCGAAATCTTATTTGACGCAGGTGGCGCTGTGGGTAAAACCTCAGTGCCTAGAACTTGCCGATCGCATGGTCGGCAGTTCGAATCCCCACGGCGGGGTGCGCTCCCGTCTTTCGGTCCCAGCTCCTGCCCACCTAGCAGTTCGAAAGCACCCCTAAGTGCAAGTAGATAAATAGGTACCGCTTTATAGCGGGAAGGTAAACGGTGTTTCCGTGTGCTGCACTGGTGCTGGCTTGCCAGAGCAGCTTCGTCACACTGGCCACGTGACCCGGAAGTGTCTCCGGACAGCGCTGGCCCCCGGCCTCTTAAGTGAGATGGGCGCACAACCCTAGAGTCGGACACGACTGGCCCGTACGGGCAGGGGTACCTTTACCTTTACAGTGGTATAATGGAAGGGGAATGTGAGGGAGCACAGCTCATGGCCTTTTCTCAGAGCAAGAATGACAATATCCTCAGTAGGACTGCCAGGTAATTGGAGTATAATTTAGGAAATTAGCATACAGTAAAGTAGAGATTGAGGAAAATAATTAAAAAAGAGAGGCTGTATACTATGTATTTATTACTGCATTTATATCCCACCTTTTTCTCCAAGGAACTCAAGGTGGTATACCCGATTCTCCTCCTCATTTAATCCTCACAAGAACCCTGTGAGGTAGATTAGACTGAAAGAAGATGGTGACTGGCCCAAGGTCACCCAGTGAGCTTCATAGCCTAGTGGGGATTTGAACCCTGGTCTTTCAGGTCCTAGTTCGACACTCTATCCACTACACCTCACTGGCTCTCAGCTGTTCCCAACCCTACCTGGGGATGCCTGGGATTGAGCCTGGAACCATTTACATGCAAAACAGATGCTCTACCCCTGAGCTATGGCTGTCCTCCAGATGACTTGTGATACTGAGATTTTCCTGTTTCAGGTTGTTGTGTTTGCCCTTTGTATTTTATTGTATCCATGGGAAGTATTTAAGCTGCACCGGAAATGCAGTTTGCTGAAGGGTGGCGTATAAATAAATAAGGCAAATAAATGCTGTGTGAAAATTAAGACCCTCTTTTTATTTTTGTTAGGGGGAACAAGGATTACCTGGCCCAAGAGGCCCAGAGGGAATTCCTGGAAAGGGCGAGGTGGGTCCAAAGGTAAGATTGAAAAAATGTGTTTTAGAAGTGTGAGAGTGAGTGAAGTAAAATCTCTCTCTCTCTCAGTGAAGGAAGTTGTAGGACTGACACCTTTTAATCACTAATATTCCATAGTTCAATTGTTTTCAATATTGCTATGAAAACAAAACTGGATAGAGTTCTTGTGGGCTGCAAGTCTTCCCAACGGTGTAGAGATGCACTTATGCACCTGTACAGATGGGGAATTGAACTTGCGAAGGCCACAGGCAAATGTTTCCACCGCTATGATGTCCCTCTGCATTCCTACCTGCATTTTTTCTACACACAATGCATGTCAGGAAGGGGCTCTAGCTAAAACTACAAGAACTTCCAAGTGTGCACATCCTTCTGAAAGTTTTTTTCTTTTTAATAGCAGATTTTATTAATTGAGAAAAGAAGGGGATTCCAAGATTTGAAGAAGTAACACAGGACAGGCAGTTATTAACAAGGCAGGACATTAATAATGAAATTAATATAAGTACACGTTTGTATATATACCAATACCTGTACAATATATACAAATAAAAGATCACATACAGATTGCTGCAATAAAAACATCACAGCACCTGCCCTTTCCTTAAAAGTAAGTGGCCCTAATAAAGAAGAAAGATTCCATGGGGCTGATTGTGGCAAGCTCTGATCTGTAGGTTCACCCTATCTGTACTAAAAACAGGAAGAATAAAATTACAAGATAATGAAATATTAATAGTGTATTCTGAAAGTTAACACCAGAATTTTCATTGAAATGAATGTTCGTCCAACTGAAAAATTAGGTTGCTTTTTCCTCCTGGAGACTCATTAATGAAATACTGGGCAAAGGCATTAATCTAGAAGTTTGACCTCATGGTCTGTTGTTTCTGGAGCTCCTTCTGTCCCTCCGCTCTTCTCTGGGACCACTGACACTCATCAGTATGTGACCATTGTGTGGTGACAGCTCAGAAACACTTGCAGTTGTCCAGCAGCTGAATGGCAGATTTCATATGAAAACCCAAAGGAAACTGTGTTGGCCTATAAGAACCCCACCCCCCATTTTGCAGACCTGTCCTAAAAAAAAGAATCCATGGATAGAATTGATAGTTAACCACTTCAGGTTCCATCAATTATCAATTTTCATTTTAGATATTCTTAAAAAAACCATAAATATATGTTGGATGGAAATAGCTTTGTGCCACAGTTTATTTTATTTTATTTTATTAATTAGGGTGAAGAGGGACAAAGAGGAGCAAAAGGAAATGATGGTCAAAGAGGTTTGCCAGGTGAACCGGGACCAAAGGTATGTTACTTTCATTTCTGTGTTGCTTCTCTGTGTGTGGGTTCTGTCTGCTAAGAGCCTGTCTGTGTGCAGTGCATCAAATGCAATTCATATAATGCACCTGACTACCATAGTCCACATAGCAGAAGCTAGTGCTCAACTATCTCGGCCACAGGTGGGAAAGACTTTTCAGCTCAAGGGCTGCATCCCCTTCTAGGAGAACTTCTTAGGGCCACAGGTCATGTACACATTATAAACAGGCAGAAATACTCAGGGAGGATGCAAGTCAGAGCCAGTGAAGAGTGTGGCCTTGTTAGAAGGGGTGTGGCCTTGGGCAGAGTCCTGAGGATCAGATAGAGAGGTCTGAGGGCCTGCCTTCAGCACTCAGGCCTGAGGCTCCCCATCCCTGGACCAGGAAGCTGATTGGAATGAACGATGACAAACAGCGTGGACAGAGAGGTCCTTGGTCTTAGCTGATTTCCAAATGAAGACCTGACTTCTCCACAATCACAAACACCAAAGGGAGAGCACAGGCTACGTCACCGAAGACGCATCCTGCTGAAATTAAAATTAGCAGAAAGGAAACAAAATGATAGAATAGTTGCTAGATTGTAGCTATCCTGAAAAACGCTATGATCAAGATGAAGAGCAATTGTTGTGGCTCCAAAACCTTAGTTCAGAAAACTGAGATGATCCTTGAAGTCCTTTCTAATGAATTCAGGGACCAATTACTGGATATCCAATCATCATTTGCAGCTAGGCAAAATGTTTTCGGATACTCTTGAAAGCCAGTACTTTAGGACTCCTTGTCATCGTGTGAATATGTTGCTGATAATATAGACATACACTGATTATATATTTCTTCTGCAGGGTGAATCTGGTATCAAAGGTTCAGTTGGTAGCCCTGGACCTTCCATTCGTGGGCTTCCTGGCCCCAAGGTAAATGATGCCAAAAGCAATGTGGAACACCCGATCCTGGTACTTTCCTCCAAAATTGTGTGATCCTTTAATAAAGATGTGTTCTTTTGTGTGTATGTTTAGGGGGAGCAAGGATATGCAGGACCTCCTGGGAGCGATGGAAACCCTGGAAATTCAATCATGGGACCTCAGGTGTGCAGTTTTAATAAAACAAAATATTGGCAATATGATTCAGTATGACCACATACAAAGAGGTAGAATGAAATACTAACTTGGGTGTTTTTAGGCTTGTTGGGCAGGATCAGGGCTGGTTAAAGACATGCTGAAGCCCTAAGCCTCAAATTACTGGCTGGGGTTCCATTTAGATCACATATCACCTCTGTTTTGAAACATTGGCTGCCAGCTTGTTTTGGGCCCAATTCAACATTTAATCATTAGTGTTTAAAGCCCTAAATGACTCAGGCCCCAAATGCCCCCCCTCCTCTGTTGCAATACCATTTTTGTACTTGTACATTTTTGAATCTTTTTTAATTTTGTGTTTTAAATTGTTGCAATCCATCCTGGGGACTTGGGTTAAGGGTAAGTAATAAAATAATAGTAAGTGATATCAAGCTTAAGTTGCCCTCTTTATTGAGTAATCAAATGTTATGATGTCAGCAGTAATCTGAAGTCATATCCAACCAGGTGCAATGGATTTATAATAGCAAGCTGCCATCTGAGTCTTTGTTGCAATTCATTGTAAAATATTTTGATTACCCAATACAGTCATACCTCGGAAGTCAAACAGAATACCTTCTGGAAGTCCATTCGACTTCCAAAACATTCAGAAACCAAGGTGTGGCTTCCGATTGGCTGCAGGAAGCGTGGATGTCAGATTTAGGATATTGTGTAATGAAGATGCAGCAATACTTACGCCTTCTAAAATCAGGAGGAATATGTGGGACAAAATCCTCAGTTCATAAGAGAAGGGTATTGTTATCCTATTTTGGTTGTTCACAAAGTGAGAACATCTGTTTGGCAACTCTTCCCAGTGCAGGAATTTGGAAGTCAAAATAGAGACAAGACCCCTTGCCCCCGATTTCCTTCGTTATTGAAATAATTAATGGGGAAACTACTTGATATTTTAAAACACTGGCAACAAACCAGAGGAATCCTTTAGGCACACCCTGAGGACTCAGACATGTCCAGCATTACTTCTGCTCCTCCCGTCTTCTTGGAAGAGGAGCTTGCCGTGCACTATATCATATACCACTTCTGAATTTCCCCAAGCGCGGCATGCGGTTCATTGTGGCTTGTGGTGCAAGCCAGTTTTCAAGTATTGCCAGTTCTCAAATTTGTAAATCAGCTGTCAATGTCCAGATCATGAACACTTTCCCTGGTAGTATTCTGCCCGATGAGCAACAGCTTCCACCTTCCTCCCAGAGTCCTTTACAACCAGAAGTACAATAGGAAGGTGAAGCTTCTCTGTCCCGGGCATAATCTATGTGTGCTGTGAAATAGCAGCCTGCCAGTTTTGCCTTCTCACATGCCGACATCGAAGTCTGGCAACGTTAAGAGTTAATAATATGATGTTTAGATAATTTATATTGACGTTGATTATTTGTCTTCAGGGTTCTCCAGGCTTACCGGGGCCACCTGGACTTCCTGGAGCAAAGGGGGATGGCTTTCCAGGTGCACCAGTAAGTGTAATTTCACTTCTAATTTGTGATAGGTAATAGGTAAAAGGTAAATGGATAGAATAGTACACTGTCCTCAGTGTCCTGAAGCGTCACACTTTGCCTCCTTGGGGATCTCAAGTGCCTTCAGAGCTCCAGCAAGCCTCTTAGGTTCATAGTGACCAGAAGAGTCTCTCCCTCTTTCTTTTCTTTTTAAAATAATTTTTCATTTATTATACATAAACAATGTGATACAATACAATACAATACAATACAGTACAATACAATGCAAATATAACTGCAAAACATACATTAGCTACATACCTAACATAAATACACCACAGTGTTTGACTTCCAACTGTTCTCACTGTGCTATTTTGCAATTTATTAATTAAGACACATTTCATTTTTGTTTGTTCTATTTTTCTAAACGAATTTTACTATGTGTTTTCTCTGTTTTTTAGATTCATTCTATGTCTGTCATCCATATAGTTTTTGAGATATTCTTTAAATATCATCCATTCCTTGTTAACTTTTGTATAGTGTTTCCTCTTTGTCTCCCTGTTAACTTTGCAATATGTAAATAGTCAATCGTTTTTGCTAACCAGTCTGTTTTTGTGAGGACATTGTTACTTTTCCAGTCTCTCCCCCTTTCAAGGTTAGCGCTCTTCTCTGCCCTTGACACAATCTTAGACTGATTTATTTATGTTTCTGCTACTTAGCCCACCACTGGGGATATTCTGCCCCCAGCTTTAGGTATCTCCTTCCTCTCTTATCTTATGTATTGAAATTGGTTTTATGTTTTGATAGTTCTTATCGGTGTTTTACTTGCCTTGTTATTATGTCATTTATTTTCTTTTATTGCTGTTTTGTTTTATTAATTGCATTTGTTTTAATATGGTTTTGCCACCCTGATGGAAAGGTAGGATACAATTTTAACAACAGATTAAGATAAAATAAAGTGTTTGTTTGTTTTTAAATGAAGAAATAAAAGCTTCTAGATTGAGGCCAAAATCCCATTATTTGTACATCCTTCGGTTCTGTGAGACTAACCAGCCTGTATTTTTCTGACGTCGTTCTAGGGCCCTCAGGGAATGCCTGGCCTTCAGGGACCAAGAGGTCTTAAAGGAGCAGGGGACCCTGGCCAAAAGGTACTCATGCTAAAGTAACACCTATAATTTTAATAGATAACTGTCATTAATAGCATTAAAAGAGAGCCAGTGTGGTGTAGTGGTTAAGAGTGGTAGTCTTGTAATCTGGTGAACCGGGTTCACTTCCGTGCTCCTCCACATGCAGCTGCTGGGTGACCTTGGGCTAGCCATGCTTCTCTGAAGTCTCTCAGCCTCACTCACCTCACAGAGTGTTTGTTGTGGGGGAAGAAGGGAAAGGAGAATGTTAGCCGCTTTGAGACTCCTTCGGGTAGTGATAAAGCGGGATATCAAATCCAAACTCCTCCTCCTCCTCCTCTTCTTCTTCTTCTTCTTCTTCTTCTTCTTCTTCTTCAAACAAATTCTATGCACTGTTTCCCTCCATATTGAGGAGAATGTTCTTGTGCTTGGATGCTTGTAGGTTTCCCACAGGCATCTGGTTGGCCTCTGTGAGAACAGGATGCTGGACTAGATAGGCCATGGGCTGATCCAGCAGGTTCTTTTTGTATTCTATTTCCTCGGAAATGAACATAAATCACAGTTTCTTCTTGATGGATAACATAACTTTTATAAAGTTGACAGAATCCATCTTGACGTAGCCCTTTAAGTGTTAACAGAACCTCTGGCACGAGGTCTTATATCAAGCTGCCATTTGGGGTAATGGCCCACCCAGTGTGACTAGCTTGCATTTCAAAAATAAAAATAAAAATCTATACCAACTCTCAGAAATCAGCAGTTTAAAACTAGCAGCAGTACAGCAAGTGTTTTCAAAGCATAGTCCATGTTTTCTTTTTAAAATAGAGAAAACAGAAAAACAAAAATGCTATCCCCTCACCTGTGGGTGTTTAAAGAAAAGCTGAAATTAAGGAAAGGTGGCCCCAAATAAATGGCTTTTTGAATGCTACTTTAAAGTTTGAAGAGTCTATAGAAACTCTGTGTGAAATATTTATGTATGCTTGTCTAAATCTGCCCGCTTTCAATCAGTCCTCTGCTTTAACAATGTAAAAATCTGCTGCTGCCTTCTGCTGCCCAATTTACATAGGGAAATCAAAACCTATCACAGCTGAGCCATTGAATAAAACGCACATTTCAGTATGTCTTGAGCTCTTTGGTGGCTGCCCTCAAGGCTGCTAAACACTTCTGTCCCCATGTGAACAAAACAGCACAGGAATTTGTCAAAACAAACAGATAAATCACTTATAGTACTCTGGAGCATATTCTGGCAATGGCAAACCAGTTTGGTATTATCCTAGTAAATAGAAAAGAGAGAGAGAGAGAGAGAGAGAGCGCTTCCTACATTCAATGGTTGTCATATGAGCATTCTTATACAATCATTCCATTTGCGGAATTAGAGCTATTAAAAATTAGATGTAGCAAAAGTTCTGCTGCTTTTTGCTTCTGACATGCTGTGCCTCTCTGCTTGTGCTGCTCACCATTCCCCCTTCCTGCTCCTCTTCACTCCACTTCCCTGTTGTAACCCTCTAGACTAGTGATGGCCAAACTTGGCCCTCCAGCTGTTTTGGGACTACAACTCCCATCATCCCTAGCTAACAGGACCCGTGGTCAGGGATGATGGGAATTGTAGTTCCAAAACAGCTGGTTTGGCCATCACTGCTCTAGACCATGGTGGGGGGGAACAATTTGGCTCCATGGGTCAGTTCTTTACTGGGACCCCTGAATATTTGTACCCAAGAAGCTGAAAAAACAATAATCCACATGTTCATTAAATAAGAGACACAACCTGTGCTTCAGTGGCCTTATTCTTTCATACAAATCCTTGAAGCCGCAGCTATGATGGATCCCTTTACCTGTAAGAAGGAACAGTTTGTGTGGTGGAAAACAATCTCACATACTGGCTTTAATGCAGTTATGCAAATAATACATTTTGCCCCTGTCCAGGGGCTGACACAGGTATAGCCATTGATGCACGAGGCCCACAAGCAAACCTGAGCATTCTCCCCAACTATGATTTCTCGCAATTTGTACTCAGAGCCATTGTCAGGCGTCAGGGACTCCGACCCCCCCCCCAACAGTAGGTTGCCGGGATCAGACAAAAAAGGAGACTTCTTACCAATGTATTTTATTCAATATTCACAGAGAGAGGCTTGGAAAAGCTGTCTCTTGGAGTAATGTCATTGCTCTGAGTAATCTCCTTGTCCCCTTCTCTCCTCAATTGTCAACAGTACCACCCAGCTTATGGTGGCCGCTTAGGGCCATTTGCCTCCGAGCCCTTTGCTCTCCTACTTTCAATGCTTGCCTGGTTCTGGGAGAACGGGGGTGGGGAGTGGTCTGGGATGCTTTCTAGTGATAACGTGTCAGCCAGCTGCTCCTGCTCTGCTTCCCCCTCTCCCATTACTTCCCAACTTTCCCCCTCATCTGCCTCTGAGCTGTGACTTCCCACAAACCCCTGTTGTAAATCTATACTGTCTTCCTCTTCTCTGGAAGGCCTGGGCTGGGGAGGCGGTCTCCACCATTCCTCCTCTGTCCAGTCCCTGACAGCCATATTGCCTCTGCCAGTGGAGGTGGAACACAGCCATTGTGGTTAGAAGCCATTGGTGGCCTTGTCCTCCATGACTCTGCCTAATGATCTTTTAAAGTCCTCCAAGTTGGTGGCCATTACTGCCTCCTGTGGAAAGTAGTTCCATGCGTAAGCACTTTCTTTTATCTGTCCCGAATCATCCCAGATCCAGCTTCATTACTGGTTACTGAGATAATATTTGGAAATGTGGCATAGAAATTGTTCCGACTATTGTTTTCCTTCTCACAGAGGTTTGGCAGCCACTTTCATTGTCATTTATTTTCCGTATTATTGAAGTATCGAAAACACACACACACACACACACACACAGAGCAATCAGTAGGACTTGGTTTCCTGCTCCAATCCTTCTTCTGTACTGCTCTAATTTCCTCTAATTTTTTTTAAAAAACGAACAGCTTTGTTTAACCGAAGAGCCCCCTATAAACACATTTACATACAAGTTGGAATTCCACTAAGTATCACTCCGTAAGAATGTTCCCTCAATCTCAATTGGAGCTCTGTTCTTTGGGCTTGAGAGATGGCTCACATATGCAGGCAGCAGAAAGGAGGAATTTGGTGAAACAGAGGCCCGATTCACTCAAAACCGCCTGTGGGATGCGGGAACACTATAGGCGTGACTTTCTTGTTGTGTATAGGATAGACATGAAGGGCAAAGGAGCAGGCTGTAATCACAACAACCGAGTATATATATAAAAGGCATGCAAATTGTAAAGCCGCAGCCTTGATACCACAACAGTGGGAATAGCCTACCCCAGCATTTTCACTGAAGAACAGAGCCAAAGCTTTTTTGGGGGGAGGGGAACCCACCAACAGTGGTCTCTGGGGGCAAGGGAGAGCCAGCTGCAGGAAGCGTCTCATGTTAAGATCCTGGCCTATCAAACATAGGCTCAACTCCAGTAAAGAGCTGAGTGTCTGTTCCTCGCCCCAGGCGTCTTAATTGATCTCACACACGGTAACTGCTCGTTAGCTCAATTTCAGCTGACTGCATTTTCTTCCTCCCTCGCCCTTTTTAATTAAGAAAAAGTAAGTATGCAGAAAAATTCCTGCGGTTCAAAAAAACAAAAACAAAGTGAAAAGCCCAGCAGGGTAACTCTTTGTATATCTTTGGATCCATTTCAACTGATATACATAATACTTCCCTTATATAGAGTTGTTTCCAACCCATATCATTCCATAAATTTATGATGCACGTGCAGTCGCTCGGAGAAACTTAGCCTTGTGTTTCACAGTAGTGGAACAATTTAAAAATAAATGCACCAGAGGTCACAGAGTTAATCGAGAGGAGCAGAAAAATAAGACATACACCCCTGTCAATATAATATATATGTGTCAGAGCTGCCTCAGGTCCCAGCTCACAGAGGACCAACGCCAGTCCGTTGTTATATAAAATAGTCTTTATTGAAGTTCAGTTTCTCATTTACAGCCACGGCGCGCAGCTCTACGTCTTAAACCCTAGACCGCCGAAGCTCCGTCTGAGTCTCCTCCCCCCAGACACCAGTTTAAGACCCTAGCCTTGCTCCACCTCTTCCTTTGTTCTTTCCTCCTCTGGGTCCGCCTGTCCGCCGGGGTTTTCCCCTTTCTAGACTCTTCTGACGCTGAGTCCCCCGAGTCTTCCCCCTCCCTCCGGCGGGTTTTAGGACCTGGTTCCCAATCCGGGCTTCCTGCTGTCCCGCGCGCCTGTACATTTGAACTTGGCGCGCGCGCCCAGCCTGCCACCTTCCTTCTAACCGTTATACTGCTCCTGTCACTGCTCCCCTCTTCGGGGACGCTAGCTGGGCCTGACTCCTCCTCCCTGCTTGCCGGAGGAGACGCTGACTCTGACCTATGGGACTCTTCCCCCCCACTACGCTCTGGTGGGGAAGCTGGCCCTGATTTCCAGCTACTGCTCTGGGAGTCTCCGCTGGCCCCCTGCTTCTGGTGTGTCCCCCCTGGGACCCCCCTTGCCCTGGCCATCGGCGCCCCCTTCTGGGAATCTTCTGATTCACTGGAGAGGCTCATGGAATCTCTCGGGTCACTGTCATTCTGCCCTCCGCTGCCCTCAGATTTCTCCCCCTCGCTCTCCATTTCCTCTCTCCCCTGTGCCTCTGCTCCTGAGCCCCTGACAATATGCAAACTGTTTAATGTTTGATTTCACACTAATTTAGACTACGTATCACATAATAACTATGATTAGCTCCAAAACAAGTCAACTTCAAATCACAGGCTGTGAAGCTGTCTTGTTGAAACTAACCATAGTGCTAAACCACAGCCACTGGTTCAGACAACTCCAGAAGGCATTGTTAATTTAAAAAATTGAAAGAAAAGCTTCTGATTCCTCGTCCACCCTGCCCTTGGACACACAGGGGAGAAAAGATGGTTGTGTGAGCTTGGGAGGAGAATAGGCCCATTCATGTAGCTCTCAGTCTGTGGTTCTTCAGATGATATAGGTCTCCAGCTCCCATTATCCTCATCCATCATGGTCAATGGTCAGGAGTGATGGGAGCTGCAGTTAAGCAATAGTCCTCCTGTGGCGCAATGTGTCAGTGCTCCTGGCTCTTAACCAAAAGGTTGGTGGTTTGAGCCCATCCAGGGCCGGCTGTGGACAGGATTCTTGCATTACAGGGGATTGGACTAGATTACCCTTCCAACTCTGATTCTGTGATCTGGAAGGTCATGGAATCCCCACCTTTGACCATGCAGATGTTGTCAAACTACAAATCCCGTCATCCCTGACCCTTGGTCATGTTGGCTGGGGCTTCTGGGTGTTGGAGCCAAACAACATCTGGAGGACCATAGAGTCCCCACCTCCGGTCTAAACCGTGGTTTAGCTCCAAACTCCCAGAAGCCCAGCCAGCACTCAGGTCCTGTTTACAGGTTTCCCATCTGAGCATGAGAACATAATACTGGATTAGATACGTCTTTGGCCTGATCCAGAAGGGAGTGCTGGTTTAGCAACATGTCTAAACTGTATCTAAGTATTTACAGTAAATGTTTTGAACAGCCTGTCTTTGAAATGGTTAAGAGGAGAAACATTTGCTTGCAGTAGTCCTGTGAATTAAAGGTAAAGCAGTCTGGTCGTATTCAGGTTTACCTGAAATTAAGTGAGTGAGTTCAGAGGGGCATAATAATAATAATAATAATAATAATAATAATAATAATAATAATAATCAACAACAACAACAAACAACAACAATTTTATTATTTATACCCCACCCATCTGGCTGGGTTTCCCAAGTAGCCTGCAATCCAGTTAAATCACAATGTTTTCGGTGAATAAATCAGAAAAGCCGGTGGGTGGGTGGGGGGAGATACAAATTCAACTCATCCACAAATACCAAAAGGCCCATACAGAAATTGACCCGTCCTTTGGCACCACCTGCTGGTAGCACATGGAATCAATGTGCCTCTCGATGTGCAAATAATAACTGCTCGGGGGATGGGGTTGGAGCAATGCCACCATGAAAATAAAAAAAGGATTTGACGCTTCATGTCCCTACACTTCAGCTCCCCCTCCCCAGTCCAAATGGGAACATGCCACAGCTGCTTTCAGATGTTTTCCAGTTACAGATCTATAACATGTAGTTTGGCCCCATCTTTAGCATTCAAGATCAACCATGCAAGCCTACACGTGTGTGATCCATGGTAAATTCCTCTGAATTTATTAGGACTTATTCCCAAGTAAGATTGTTGAGTTTTTTTAAGGACTGCTGCAGCTCTAATCTTCATGATCTTTTCACAGTCTGATCCACAAACCAGTCAAACAGGCTTCTCGGATTTAAGCGTTGAAGTCACAGCATTCCAGCCCTGAAAGCTTCTCCATTAACTAGTTTTTGAAGGTTGGGCTGCCCCCTCTCTAATATCACAGACGTCTCCTCCCCCTAAACAAACCACAGTTGTACGCAAATTGTCAAACAGACCTTTGTCCTTTAGGGATTTCACCAAGATCAAGTTGCTCTCAGCCATCTGTCAACAGCTGTCCTATTATTTAAATCTCTGGCAGCTTTGTTAGACATTTCTCCATGGTGTGTTTGAGTTGTTAAACCTTTAAGTGCTGGGCTGGTTAGAAACTCTGTGGGAGAAGAAGGTTGCTCCAAATAACAGTTCTGGAAGCTTTCCCCATCATTCAGAGAATGAGAGAGAACTTCGTGAAGGCCTCACTCCACACTCCTCAATATTTACCTGCTCCGAATTGCCTCCCTCTCTGGCAGGAGGGGAGAGAAAACATGGAGACCGTCTCTTATTTATTTATACAAACATCTTCCCCAGTGCTGTTTTTCTCGAAAAAGAGGTGCCAGAACTCACCGTGAACGCCTCCCTTGTTCTCTTATAATGGCAATGGAGTCCACCAGAAAAAAGCCCTCCTCTTCAAAATATTTTGCTTATTTATTGCATTCATTTCTCACCTTTACTCCAAGGATCTCAGTTTAGCATCCATGGCTCTCCCACTCTCTACATTATCCTCCCAACAACCCTGTGAGCAGTGCCGGATTTATGTATAAGCTAAACAAGCTATAGCTTAGGGCCCCACTCTCTTGGGGGCCCCAAAAAAATTGAAAGGGAAAAAAACCTGTATGTACACTTCCAAAATATTAGATCAAAAACAAACAAAATAAAACCTACATACAGCAACAGTGTTTTGTGTTGTGTAGGCTCCTATGATGTAAGTCATGGGCCCCGCCTGCTAGCCCGCTCCCTAAAATGTCACTGGTTTCCTCATTTCTATATATAGGGTGCCTACATTTTGCATGGACTGGTTGCATGGCAACTTGTGCAAATGGCTTTAGGTACCTATTAGGTCCATCAATTACCATATAGCATATATTCAACACAAAGAACAGTGACAATTTGTTGTTGACAAAGGACAGCTGGACATATCAAGGGCCCCATTACCTTCAGGAGCTTAGGGCCTCATCAAACCTAAATCCGGCCCTGCCTGTGAGGTAGGTTAGGTTAAGTGTTGGTGACTGGTTCAAGGTGACCCGGTGAACTCTGGTCTCCCAGGTTACACAAGCATTAAAAGAAATTGGGGGGGGGGACACCATAATTAAACAGACTGTAAAACAATCCCATTAACAAAAAACCCCATAGCAATTAAAAACAGGTTGAGAGATCAAGTGCAATATTCAAAAGCCAACCCAATGTCTATACAGACATTTTGTTTTGCAACACCGGTGGCACCAGTAAAAAAGTTTGTCTTTGACTTGCCCCAGGCCGCTGATCCTTGAACTTGGGCAAGGATAACCTACTCTAACCCTGATATCTTTATCCCAATGCTTTCTCTGGGTGCCCAAGCCAAATGAAGTGCAACATGTGGCTGTTTGTGAAAGGGGCATCTCAGTGGCTGTGTGACTCAACTGCAGAATGCTCTTCCCAAGCAGGGCCACGTGTACCTAACTTTAATGCCTTTTTGCCACCACGTTTTAAATGTCTTTTATTTTCCAAGAGCTTTTTGAATTTTGTTGTAGCTCCTAATATCCCCCTGGCTCTGTGGCTTTGATTCTCTGCTCTTTGGTTTGGCTGTGCGTTTAAATATTCTTTTAAAATAAATAAATAAATAACCTTAACTGGGAATTGCTTTAATGGTGCTTTATATTTTACTGTCTTGTGCATTTTCAACTCTATGGGCTGCCCTGAGAATGCACGTAAATAAATAAATAGCACATGGAATATGGCCTTTAGCTATTGATATCTATGGGAAGTGCTTGCCGGCTTTTAAGTTGGAACATCCTCTGCTATGATTTGTTGTGAAAGCAAGCAGGCTCCTTCATAAAATTCCATGGATGTAATACCTGCGTTAAACCTCTTCCTTTTTGTCTTTCTTTACTTTAGGGAGAACCAGGAGCAAGAGGACCCCCGGGGCCTCCTGGTCAAAGAGGAATAGGAATACCTGGGCCCAAGGTTAGCAAGAATCTCTGCAGAGTCTAGCAGAAGGATTGGGAATATACAGTGTGGCCCTACAGATATTGTTTGACTACAATTCCCATCTTCCCTGACCACTGTCTATGCTACCTGGGGCTGATGGGAGTTGGAGTCCAACAACATCTGTAGGTACCACAGGTTCTCTTCCCCTGATCTAGAAGTTCCTGCCCCTTATATATTTAAGTTAAACGTGATAGCCACCTTTCTTGGAATGCTCTGGAGCTAATTTACATTCAATATCTTAGCAACTTCTTTTTTGCCTGTTTTAATCTAGACGGGTTTGTGAATGCCTTGCAAAAGAAGCACTTCTTTCTATAATGTTGCATTTTGTGGCCGAATTGTTAGATGCAGTGCACCCAGCAAAGGAATGCAGTGTTGCCTTTGTTTAGGGGGTTAGTTGCGGAAGAATGCTACTGATCCTATGCTCTTAATAATGGGGACTGAGTGGTTCACTCCAGTCATCAGGCTCTTTTTCGCCCGAGACTTCAGGTGACTGCTGTGGATGTACATTTGCTTACCTTATGGAGCAAAGGATAAGCGCTTGCACACAGAGAATCAGCATGTCAGGGGGAAGGGTTCAGCCTATCTTCTTTCTGTGTTCGGGGAGTTGCTTTGCTTTTCAAATGTGTATCCCAAGCCTGAAATGGTATAGTCTAGACAGCTTTGTCATTTAATTCGGCTGGCTGTTGAACGTGACCAAGGGCAGAGAGCAAGGGAAATAGGTGGGATTGTGCTATCAGCTTCCTTCCCGCCGCCAGTTACAAAGGCTTATATATGTAATTCTTTTCACAGTTTCCAGCATTTGGAAAAGGCAGAGATGGGCACAAAATTTTACATGACACTATGCAATTCTGACTTCTTCCTGGAGTTGTCTTAAACTACTCCCCCCCCCTTAATCTGAGACAATTTTATTTCCTTTTATTTCCTTTTTTAAAATTAGGGTGTTATTGGACAAAAAGGTCTGCCAGGGCCACAGGGTCCTCCTGGAGATAGTATACAAGGAATTAAGGTAAGAATGTAGGTGCTGACGTAAGTTTTTTTGCAAATGACTCCCCCTGACCTGTCTTCATTACACAGTTGTTTCATGGAACTATTTATGTTGCTGCTTAAGAGGGGAAAGAAACCCAAACCCCCAAAACCTAAATTTTAAATGTCCACTTGGTTGACAGACAGTGGTTTCTTAACTGAGTGCCAGCCCTGTTGGAGTGAAAAGATCAGTCCTTTAAAACTCTATCTTGATCAAGGACAGAAATTTGTTCTGGAAGAACTGATGAACTGTGGATGTGCCATACCCTGGACTTTCCCCTTCCATGGAAGTGAAATAATTGAGTAAATACTGTTTGCTCTAACAAATTAAAAGGCCGTCATGTTGTGTCAGGGTGTCCTAGCAGTGACAGATCTTTTAAACTAGAATTTCAGTTTTGGCCTTTAGAACCTGATGACTTCATACACAGAGAGAGACACACACCTGCTGTCATCCAGACTAGGCAATTACAGTACTTATACCAAAGCTATAAATATCTGGAAAAATGTTGAGCTGGGAGATAACAGAAATCACTGGGTTAAAGTTGACTAAAAGTGCAGAGTTGCCATTATTATCAATTTACAATGGGGTGGAAGGTTCGCAGGCTATGAAGGACTTGCTCACAGATTTATTGACAGTTGCATGAATTATGACAGCTAGGGAAGTGGAAGGGGCAAGCAGAATATAAAATGGAGGAATGGTATAAAGAGGTGTGGGGATGTAGCTATTAATGATAAATTGAGATGTGCCATTAAGGTAAGACGGGGAATATGCAGGAGAAATGATTTCGAGGAGATATGGAAGGTGTTTATAGAATTTGTACTGTTAAAACGGAAAGGGGTCAAACCATCGCAAGAGATGTTGAAATTTTGGGAGGTTGGATAGTTACAATGGAATGGTCTCGGTGGTGGGGTGCACATTTTTATTCTTATTTATTTATGATTATTACTTTGTCAAAATAAAACAAAAACAAAATAAATGTTGAGCTGGATCCTTCCCACAAGAATCTGACTTAGAGCAATGCATTTTAAAAACACTTTCCCATTTATGTGAACCTCAGTGAGGGCGCAGAACACGGCTTGTGAGGGGCGTGGCCTAGGGAGGGGGTGTGGCCTGGAGGAGAGTACCAAATGTTGAATGAATGGAGAATCCGGTAGGGACTCCTCTGGGGCAATTCAAAATTTAGAAAGCAAGTGTGTTGTCACCTACAAAAATGTCATCACTCCTTATATGGCCACAGAGATGTCAGGAAAGTGACACTTCTTGCGTATGTAAAGCTCCGGGGCTTGTGGTTTGGATGGCTAAGAGTAGTGGTTCCAAATATTTTTTTGGGCCACTGTTCCCTTGGCTCCATAAACTCATCCCCGGCGCCCCTTGCCCTATAAAGAGCATTATTCAGAATAGTGGTTGAATCACGATGCACTAAGAAAGGTGATTACACAGCAGCGTTAAAAGCTGTAACCATTAGTTGCACATTTATTCAAAATCCAATGTAGCTTGAGTCAACAAAATTGATAAACTTGATACAGCAATGCCAGCTTTTCAAAGCCTGATAGTCGTTGACACTTCCAGTGGCCGCTCAGGTTTGGGAACCACTGGCTTAGAGCCATAGAGTCGAAAACTGTTTCCCATCATGTGAAGCTGTCTCACAAGAGGAGCATCTGTGTATTAGGTCTCTGGGTCATGTAAGTAAACCCTGTGGCTGAGCAATATTGGTGGCCGCTTAAGCTGAGCAGCTGAGCCCTAGGGATGCTTTTGGGCCACATTTAACATAACTGTTCCATATGGAAGTGACAGGAAAGCTGCTCTGCTCAAAGGGATAAGACGGCTGGCTAAACATCTGTCAGTGGATTTCCTGCATGCTTGTTTCCTGTACAGTATGTTTAATAAATGTCCATATGGGTATAGCCAAATGCAATCCTTGCAGACAGTTCTGCATGCAAACAGAAAACGACCTAAATAACCGAGGGAACAGTACTTTGCCTGCAGCTGCTAAATGTTACGGCCTTTTTACAAAGGCTATTTCTAAGCAAATCTCTATGTTGTTTTTAGGGAGATCGGGGTGTTCAAGGCTTACCAGGACAAAAAGGCTCCGTGGGGGTTGGACTACCTGGGTCTAAGGTAAGAGAGTTGCCCATCTATTCCTTTTTTAAAAAATCAGTTTTTATTAAAAGTTTTCAACATAAAATACAAACTAATTTAGAAAGGAATAAGAGGGGAAACAACCACGATTAAAGAAATAAAGGAATAAAGAAAAGGAGAAAGAAGGGGGGGAGAGGAATTGGAAATTAAAAAGCCTTCTATCCATAGGAGCCGAGGCTCCTTCGGATCCCCCAATAAAATATTTGAGGGGGCTGCCCCCCAAGTTGATGGGCATTACCATTCAAATGGTGTCTGTGTGCTGTATCATGTGACCAATTATGTAGGGCCAGGCTTATAGCCATGTTGTATCTTATTATTAGGGAGATTCTGGAGAGAAAGGAGACCAGGGAAAGAGAGGTAACAAAGGAGAGATTGGAGAACCTGGACCTGCAGGACCAAGGGTAACACTTAAAAAAACACAACTACTTTATTTATTCTTTCACGACAGAAGATAGTGCACTTAATAATTTATATCATTATACAACCTTTCAGGGATTTTCAGGACTCAAAGGTGAACCTGGTCTTACTGTAAGTACATCCTGATGTGTTTTATCATAAAAATGTGACTGTTGGTAAAAGCTGCAGCTTGGCACTCTTTATGATCAGAGATGGGGAATCAGTGGCTCACCAGATGTTGTTGGATTACAGCTAGGAATGAATCAGTCTTTTCCAGGTCCTGCTTGTGGTCTTACTATAAGCTTCTGGTTGGCCGATATGAGAACAATATGCTGGACCAGATGGGCCACTGGCCACATCCAGCAGGGCTTTTTGTATATTTTGTGTTGCGTCAAATAAAAAAGATATTTCTGTCACAGATTAAGGATCATTTAACTACGTATTTTGTTAGAAAATGTGTTCCAACCTGTTCAGAGCCATGTATGCAGCGTTCTTTCTATTCTGCTACAGTTCAGCTTTTGGGGGAAACCATGTTGTTTGTCTTGCCGTGGCAGACAGAATTTTATGCAATCAATTACGTATTGTAGCATTATGCCATACCATTCATTTCAATGCAAAAGCCATTCATTTCAATGCAAAGAACACAAAATACAAATGGCAGGGGGAGGAGGACAACAATACACATTCTCAATTAAATATTGTTTGCAAAATGTTGTGAAAACAGCAGAAAACACGGATTGCATTTGATGCATTAATTTCCATTCTGGACATGAGAGAATTGAGCGAACTTTGGCAATTTCTACTCCCATGCAAGTAGACATGATTCTTTCCCCTCTTTTAGACATGTTCAGAGAACCATCGGAATATCACTGTAACAACAATATTTTTTAGTGTTTCAAAACATCCTGTCACTTGCTTTATGCAAAGCAAGCATCCAATTTTCCATTAGAAAACAAAACAAAACAAAACAAAAACAATTAGGCAATGATGCATAACTGACTTCCAAATCTGAAATCACAACTGAACTGGCTCCTCTCTTTCAGAAAGAAGACGTAATCAAACTCATAATGGAGATATGTGGTAAGATCTACCTGAAGGAATGAAACCATTTCATCGTATTAGTTGCTTTCCCTGAAAGAATTCAGAATTGACCTTGGAAGTGTGTACATTTATTGGGTAGAGTTGAAAGAACCATGAATGGAAGGAAAATAGCTGGGAGTGCTGTTTCACAAGTGCTGGCCCATGTCTCTGCAGTCTTAAACAGTCGCACCTTGGAAGTCGAACAGAATCTGTTCCGGCAGTCTGTTCTACTTCCAAAGCATTCAAAAACCAAAGCGCAGTTTCTGATTGGCTGCAGGAAGGTCCTTAACCGTCCAGGGGTCCTTTACCTGTTTTTTACCTTTACTGTCTTGCTGCATCTCTACTTCTGTGTGAGGTGAGGAGCACTATACCAATGAAAAGAAGAAAAAATCACATGTATGAAGCCACCCTTAGTGGAACAGTTATTCCAAATAGCATGAATGTGCAGTGTTCACCAGTGCTGGGAATCCACAGAAAACAGGTGTGGTTGTCCACTGTCTTTCCTAATTTTCAACAGCATGTACACACTTATTCCAAGATGTACCTGAAGTTGCTGTCAGAAGGGAATGTAGGGAAGCCTTTCTCATGCACACAGACAGAGGAAGCACCTTGTGTGCACATCAGAACATTTATTTATTTTTTGGACCCCAGTCTGCAACTCTTGGGCCAGCGGGTGGCGCTGTGGGTAAAAGCCTCAGCACCTAGGGCTTGCCGATCGAAAGGTCGGCGGTTCGAATCCCCGTGGCGGGGTGCGCTCCCGTTGCTCGGTCCCAGCGCCTGCCAACCTAGCAGTTCGAAAGCACCCCCGGGTGCAAGTAGATAAATAGGGACCGCTTACTGGCGGGAAGGTAAACGGCGTTTCCATGTGCTGCGCTGGCTCGCCAGATGCAGCTTTGTCACGCTGGCCACATGACCCGGAAGTGTCTCCGGACAGCGCTGGCCCCCGGCCTCTTAAGTGAGATGGGCACACAACCCTAGAGTCTGTCAAGACTGGCCTGTACGGGCAGGGGTACCTTTACCTTTACCTTTACCTTTACTGCAACTCTTGGGGAATTATTTAAAATCTACATAGCAGATAAGGTAAAGGTAAAGGGACCCCTGACCATTAGGTCCAGTCGTGGCCGACTCTGGGGTTGCGGCGCTCATCTCACTTTACTGGCCAAGGGAGCCGGCGTACAGCTTCCGGGTCATGTGGCCAGCATGACTAAGCGCTTCTGGCAAACCAGAGCAGTGCACAGAAATGTCGTTTACCTTCCCGCCAGAGCGGTACCTATTTATCTACTTGCACTTTGACATGCTTTCAAACTGCTAGGTTGGCAGGAGCAGGGACTGAGCAACAGAAGCTCACACTGTCACGGGGATTCAAACTGCCAACCTTCTGACCGGCAAGCCCTAGGCTCTGTGGTTTAACCCACAGCGCCACCTGTGTCCCTACATAGCAGATAGCTGACTTAATTCTAACCCCATCTCACCCTGTTTTTAACAGGCTGCGGTGTTAAGTGCAAAGAAAACCCTCTGGAGCTCGTGTTTGTGATTGACAGTTCGGAAAGCGTCGGGCCCGAGAACTTTGACCGGATCAAACGGTTTGTGAAAACGGTGATTGACGCCGTCACCGTCAACCAAGCTACGGCTCGCGTCGGCATCATCAACTTCAGCCACAAAGTCGAGCTGGTGTCCACTTTGCAGCAGTTCCCCAACAAGGACAGCTTGAAAAGTGCCGTTGATGCCATGCAGTACCTGGGGGAAGGCACGTTCACCGCCACAGCTCTCAGCAACGCCATCGATGTGTTCCAGGCTGCGCGGCCAGGGGTGAGAAAGGTGGCTATTGTGATAACGGACGGGCAAGCAGATCGCCGCGATCAGAATTCGCTGGAGGTGGTTGTGAAGAACGCCCACGCTCTCAACATTGAAATCTTTGTCATTGGGGTGGTTCAGAAGAGCGATCCCAATTTTGAAAGTTTCCGGAAAGATCTGGACCTCATCGCTTCAGACCCGGACCCAGAGCACGTCTACCAGATAGATGATTTCATGACCCTGCAAGGTAAGAGGGAGCAATCTCTCTGGAATGTTATTTGCTGGAATATTAGGAATGCATATTGGTATTATAAATTTTAGTTGCTGTAGATAGCAGCAGGAGCTTTTGCATGATGATAAAGTATAATAAGGAACAGCAGCAATGCTTGTTTTTAGTGTGTGTATATATTCAGAATACCTATATAGCTATGGAAGCATTTCCCCCCGGTATGTTGCTAACTGTTGCATTTGCTGACTTCCTTGTTTTAATGTTTGCATGCAAAATCATTTTAATCAAGATGATAAGGATAAGGCATTAGTCCTTAAAACTTCCCTAAACAGGGCTGCCTTCAGATGTCTTCTAAAAGCCAGATAGTTGTTTATTTCCCTGACATCTGAAGGGAGGGAGTTCCATAGGGAGGGCACCACTACTTAGAAGGCCCTCTGCCTGTAGTATGTGAAGGGTGCAGGGAATTGTAGTTCTGGGAGAGAGAAACATCCGTTCCCTTGATTCTTTGGGGCATGGCATGTGTTTTAAAAGTATGGGTTGTACAAAGCTCTAGTCCACGCATAGGCAAACTTGGCCCTCCAGATGTTTTGGGGACTACAACTCCCATCATCCCTGACCACTGGTCCTGTTAGCTAGGGATGATGGGAATTGTAGTCCCAAAACATCTGGAGGGCTGAGTTTGCCTATGCCTGCTCTAGTCTGTCTGCTCTCCCCCCACATCCCAGGTTGTCTCCTCTTCTCAGTAAGCTCAGCTATTATAAGGATTAGATTCTTATCCTGCCTGCTCGGGTGCTCTTCCTTCCAAGGTGGCTTACATGTAGCATTAAATCACATTACAGTGGAACCTTGGTTGTCGAACTTAATCCGTTCTGGGAGTCTGTTTGACTCCCGGAACCGTTCGAAAACCAATGCGCAGCTTCCGATTGGCTGCACTCAAGCGGAACCCACGTTGGAAGTTTGGCTTCTAAAAAACGTTCAGAAACCAGAACACTTACTTCCAGGTTTTTGGCTTTCGGAAGCCGATTTGTTTGTCAACTAAGCCATTCGAGAACCAAGGTTCCACTGTAGAAAAAACCCAACAATGAACAATTTCGACTTGGAGGTGAAGAGTCAATCTGGAGATGGTCTTCTCCAGAGGGGGCCTTCTCCTGCCTCCTCCTTTAGTCCTTCCCACAAGACAGTTTAATGCCCATAACCTTCACTCTCTTTGCATAAAAAAGAAACAATCTTAACCCTCCCACAACATGTACAAATCATACTGTGGAGCGGACATCAATTTAAAGCAGGGGTGAGGAACCTGTGGCCATCCAAGATGGTGTTGGGACTATAAATCCCATGGGCCAAATTCTGTGTGATTGCTATAAAACTTAGGGAACAAGCTGTCATATCATTATGATTAAGGTTTTAAATGACAACTTCAGGTTATATTTTAGTGAGTAAGATCTAATTTATATATTTCAACTGCTGCTATACCGAACTGCCAATTTAAATGTACAGTGGTACCTCAGGTTAAGTATTTAATTCGTTCCGGAGGTCTGTTCTTAACCTGAAACTGTTCTTAACCTGAAGCACCACTTTAGCTAATGGGGCCTCCTGCTGCTGCCGTGCCGCCGGAGCACAATTTCTGTTCTTATCCTGAAGCAAAGTTCTTAACCTGAAGCACAATTTCTGGGTTAGCGGAGTGTGTAACCTGAAGCGTATGTAACCTGAGGTACCACTGTATCCCTATTGTGTTTCATAACTTCCCTGATTTTGTATGTGAGCTGGAACTGGTCTGTGACCAAAATAATAAACTCATTCATATAATTCCCATGATCCCTGACCACTGGCCATGCCAGCTGGGGCTGCTGGGAGTCCAACAACCTCTGGAGGGCCACTGATTGAAACAAATGGGCCTGTCACCATCAGCTCGGTCTCATTCCTGGTCTATGTGTATTTCCATCTAACCCTTTCAGCTCTTGAGAACAAGATCTTCAAACAAATTTGTGAGAACGATTTCAGTTCCTACATCACCAAAGTGCTCAGCTCAGCCCTTTCTCCAGGACTTGAGACAAGAACACAGCACACTGGTCAGTTTTCTGTAGTTGAGACACATGAGCCTTACGTCCCTCCACATCAGCCGGAAGTTACTGATTTTGTAAGTATTTCTAAAGATTTGTGCTTAAATAGGAAGGGCTATAGCTGAGTAGTAAAGCATGTCTTTTTTTTGCACTTAGGCGTTCCCAGGTTTCAATTCTTGGCCTTGGTATTTAAGTTCACCTAGTTTTACCATGAAGGCTGGAAAGTTTTGTCATTTTTCCAATCTTATAGTCAGTTCGCCAAATTTCTGCAGGAATTTGTATTTAAAATATCCTACTGAAAATTATTCAGCATTCAAGAGCAAATTTTCCCTAACAAACACATTTTTGCATACAATTGATGACTGTACACATTTCTGCAAGCAATTTCTCCTAATACAATGCATCTTCATATGTAATTTTCACTAATACATTCATTTTTGCCATACACATTCATTTTCATAAACTTTGGTTCGTTGGACAACTGCACTGAAAAAACAGATGAATGATGGCTGTGTTTTAAATTTTCATATTGTTTCAGAAAGTGTGAGTTTGATAGATCTGAGATGTGAACTGAATAGAATTTCCCTCTATTCCTATTTGCCACTGACATTTAATTCTTTATTTCCTTTTTTATAGCTATTGCCAGGGGTTCCAAGTGAGAAAGGAGTGTCACATTCTGAATGGGACCGCTATGTTACTACAGCTCCTCCTAAGCAACTTCCTGATAGTCACAGACGACCAGCCGCCCCTTCTGTTCACGAGACACAAGAGTTTTTCGAATTCAGAACTCCCAAGCCAGATATAACTCGCATATCTAATGTAACTAGAGGTGTGCAACCTCTGCCAGCTGTTCTGCAGCCTCATACGAAAGGTGTGAAGGGATTCTTCTAATGGAAGGGTTAAGGGATAGAATCATAGTAGTTGGAAGGTAGGAATGCAGGAATCTTTCACCCAATATAGGGCTTGAACCCACAGCCCTGAGATTAAGAGTCTCATGATCTACCAACTGAGCTATGTACAGACTTTATGGGCTTTTAAGGGTCTTGAGTTTGCTTATACAGTCATACCTTGGTTTTCAAACAGCTTAGATCTCAGACGTTTTGGCTCCCGAACGCTGCAAACCCGGAAGTGAGTGTTCCGGTTTGCGAACTATTTTTGGAACCCGAACGTCTGATGGGGCTTCCGTGGCTTCCGATTGGCTTCTGGAGCTTCCTGCAGCCAATCAGAAGCTGTGCTTTGGTTTCCGAATGTTTTGGAAGTTGAACAGACTTCCGGAACGGATTCCGTTCGACTTCCAAGGTTTGACTGTATAGGCCACCTCACCACAAAGTTGAAGTTATAGAGGCAGCAAAATTGAAGGCTATCACATGGCAACAGAACAAGGTCACCAGTTAAGGTTAAAGGGGAAAGCTTTCTTCCTCTTTTGATAGATCACTTCATGGCCTGAAGCAGGTAAAGACAGAATAAAACACAGGTTACAGTCTTTAGCATGTCGTCAGTGGGTTTGTGGGACATAACAGCCACAAGAGGGGCACATTAACTAGACAGAGAGTTTTGTATGTCCAATCCCAGCCTGGGAGTACATGCCATTGACATGTTGTCCCAGGTTATGTGTGTGCAAGAGTGTCTAGTCAGTAAATAATAGAACGAAAGAAGTCTCTGTATTTGAATGGAACATGGACAAACTTGAAGGGCTTCAACACAGAACGTAAAAAGAAAACTATGGTACCACGGCATTACGTCTTCTAAGGTTGGGGAAGAGGGACGATAGCTGTCAGTTAGTGCTGTGTACAGCCCAGCTCTGTAGCAAAACTGGCAGAACCGGCAAACACAGGAGTAAGCTAGGTTTGCCTTGGTTGTAGAAAAGAGGGGAGTGGCTGTTGTTTACAGATACACCCTCCCATTACCAAATACCTCAGGTGCACCTATTCATAGCACCATAGCAGGGGAAGACAAGGCCCAAGATTTTTTGCTTCTGTAGAATTGGAGCAGGTCTCAGTAGATGTAAAAAAACCAAAAAACAACAAAACCCAACCCATTTTGTTTCCAGATGACAGATGTTTCGAACCAATGAAAACCGGAGACTGCCGAGACTATACAATGATGTGGTATTATGCCAAGGATGTAAATTCTTGTGCTCGCTTTTGGTATGGAGGCTGTGACGGTAACCAAAATAGGTTTGAGACAGAACAGGACTGCCGGGAAACCTGCGTTCGTGACTGAGCAGGTACGTCATGTTAATAGCAAGACCTCCGCCAAAGAGTGTTTTCCTTATAACAGTCAGGTGCAAATCTTATATGCACAAGAGATCATGCTGACTCTTCTGTGACTTTGTAATTATAGTAACTTAAACAAGTTTTAGTGGCTATAAAATATATTTATAAATATCTCTTGCCTGCCTTTTCTTTAAAAAGTTCAACGCTGCTTGTTGGAAGTTTGAGCAGGAGGGAGTTAATATTTAGAGCTGCACTAGTTAAGAGCAGAATACTCTTATTACAGAAGTGAAAAGGTTCCGTTGACGTATTTCAGGTATGAATGTTGTTTTTGTGTTCTTTTACAGAGAGAACTCGAGCTTTGAGAAGAAAACAAAGCGAACTATTCGTGGAGTTTGTATAAGAATACTAGAGAGTTCCAAATGCTGTGTTAATGCAAGTACTAGTTTTGTACCACGCCTGCTGCTTTTTACAATGCATTCAATGGATTTTATAGAACGTATTATCTTCGTAATTGATAGCTTCACTCGCCAAAAAGCATCTTAATACTTCCGTGTTTGTGTTTTAGCTCTAGTACTGCCCATGGCAGCGTTTCAGGAACTTTTAACAAGAAAGATACCAAGGATTTTAATGTTTAGCTTTAGTAGAGTATGACCTTTTGTTATTTGGAAATGAAGAGCAGAACAATGGAGGATACCTGAAACTGGTAAAATCTGTCAAAGCAACAAGTGGAAAAAAGTGCCTTTGAATGGGAACTTCTACATTTAGCAGCCAAGGATCATCAAAAGACGTGGCATTTGCTTTCTTTCCCTTTAGATGTCTACAGTAGCCAAGATCCCGTTGTAGTGGTGGGCAGCTCAACACACAGAACTGGTGGCCCTCCATATGTATCCTCATCACAAGAGCCACCAAGTTACTCCAGTTAAGCTCAGATGAGTAACAAAAATGGCTTATGGCCAGATCAGGGCTGATAATTTTGGGATTTTTGTTAAAGCTAAGTCCACACATTTTTATTTCTCAGGGCTCTTGTACAAATGAGTGCAGTAAAGAGTAGAATCAATTTATAGGGGAATTTTAACAGAAAAAAGCACTGAAAGATGTACATAAGTGTATTTTTTTTGGACCTTACCACTACGCAAAAGTACTGTACAAGCTAAATGGGTAATGATTAAACTGATTATATGAACAAGAGGGTGTGTGTCCACTCTTTTTACATGGAAATGCTGCAGTTATGCATTTGTGTAATTTTCTACATACGGAACACTAAAACATGGATAATTAAATCACCTCCTTTAGGGATGTCCGCAGCATGTTTCATTTATGCCATGGTTCCTCATTCAGAAAGTGGTTTGATACACAGCAGTGGTAGTTAACTTGTGGTCCTCTAGCTACTGAGCTACAGTGCTGACCTGTAGTCCAGGATGATGAGACACTATAGTCCAACATCATCTAGAGGACCAGAGGTTAGCCACTTCCACCCCCACAGTAGAAGCTTGCTCATGGACTAGTGCGGGGGTCGGCAACCTGCGGCTCCAGAGCCGCATGCGGCTCTTTAAAGCCTTTGCTGCGGCTCCGGGGCGGAGGCAAGGGGAGGAGGCGAGGGGAGGAGGCGCATTTTCTGGGCGGAAACACGCAAAAAGCCGCTTATGATTGGATCACTCCCTTATCTACTGGGGGCGCCTTGATCGCGCCGAAAACCTCTCTGTTTGGATTGCTTGCTGCCTACCCAAGTCGATTCGCTGCTGGGAGCCCAGCGCGCTACGCAAGCTCATCGCCGCATTTTACCTTTCCTGGGGAGGACTCGGCGCGCCTGGCGGATCAGGTTGTGGGCGGATCAAGTCGCGGTCGCGTGGAATTTGTGCTTTGTGACTGTTTGAGGTGGGTTTTTTTTCTTGGGAGGCTGGGCGGCGCGAAGAGAGGGAGGCTTGTGGTAGCGTCGGGCCTTGTCTCTAGCAAAGTAAGTCCTCGCTATTTGGTCACATGCGCAGCATTCTCCTTGTGGGGGTGAGGTGGCTTCGGCGCTCCAACGCTTGCTTTGCCGGCTGCTTTTAAAAGCGTTGGAATCAGCTGTGCTGTTGCTGGGTAACCGGATCGTCCCAGCAGCCATCTTATCTGCCCATGTGGTCTTCTGAGGCGGCCGCCATCTTACTATAGGCAATTCCACGTGGGAGTTAGTTGCCTGAAGCCCCTTTTTAGTTGCCTGAAGCCCCTTTTTAAACTTAAGCAGGGGGAAGTTTGGTGAATAGCTAACACTTTCCTTGGGGAACGTTATGCAACAGCTTATTGCTGGTCTTTGTCGTCCCGCCTTTGTAAGCAGGCTGCATTGAAAGGGGGCATATACACTGGTCACTGTTTTGAAGGGGAGTGAAGAACACACACTCAAAAAAAGGTAACTTGTTAATTTAATGTTTATTTCTATGAGGAGAAGTAATTCTGAGGGGTCAAACAAAGAAATAATAAAAAGTGTCAAAAAAGGTATTTTTATAATGACGAATGCCTCATTATTAATTATTATTTACATCAGGCACTGATTATGATTTATGGTACACTGGGGCCCTGATTAATTTTCTATGGCATTTTGGGGCATTGATTATTGGGTGTAATGGGTATGAGTTACTCGTGCGTAAACTGCCGCCTCTCTAGGCTTAATTGCCTTTTTAAACCGTTCTGACTGCACAGCCCATCTCCGCGTAGCTGTCTCAGTCGCTAGCAGAATCCGTCTGTGGGCGTTTCTTAAACCTCTTCCAGCATAGAAGCTGTCTGACTCCCAGTCGCCTCCTCCTCTCACTGCGTGGGAGTCTTCTGCGCAGGGAGGGCGTGGGTAGTGGAGGACCTGTGCTCTACTCACTGATGTACAGAGAAGAATCCCGGAGCTCTCTCTCCGCTTCCCCCATCTGCCCCCCTTTATCCCTGGTGTTGCGCTGATTTCCTTCCCCCTCTACCAAGCTGCTTCTCCCCCTGGTGCTGGGTCCTTCGCCTGCAGAATCTGGGAGCCTCCCCTTCGCCTCTCGCTCTGATGTCAGTTCCCTGACATCGGGTATAGCAAATTTTGCTATGGAGCCCTCTGATTTCTAATTACGTCCCTGTTTTGGACCCCCGGTAGGCCAGCCATGGATAAAGGCAAGAAAAGAAAAATTTCTAAAGAAAACAGAATGTTTAATGATACATGGACAGAATCATTTGCATTCTCTACTGACAAGACTGGTTTACCAGTATGCTTAATATGTGGTGAGAAATTTGCAAACAACAAAAAGTCAAATATTGCAAGACATTTCCAGAATAAACACGCAGCCTTTGCTGAAAAATATCCAGATGGAGATGAGAGACGAAAAGCCGTTGCAGAACTTATGAGGAAGGTTGATAGGAGCAAAAATAATTTCAAGAATTGGGTGAAGTCTGCAAATTCCACAACATATGCTAGTTTTGTAGCCGCTCAGGAAATAGTCAAGCACGGGAAGCCGTTCACAGATGGAGAGTATATAAAAGAAGCATTCATTAAGGTTTCGGAACATCTATACATGGACTTCAAAAACAAGAATGAAATTGTGCAGAAAATCAAAGACATGCCTCTGTCTGCGAAGACTGTTAAAGACACAACCCTAAAAATGGCAGAAAACATTAGCAAACAGCAAATTCAAGACATTAATTCAGCTGTGGCGTACTCCATCGCCTGTGATGAGTCCAAAGATAAAGGTGATATTGAACAAATAGCGCTGTTCTGCCGATATGTGAACTCTTTTGGGCCACAGGAAGAACTGATTGAGCTGATACCACTAAAAGACCAAACAAGGGGTGAGGATATCTGTAAGGCTGTCCTGGACTTTTTAAGTGCTAAAAAAATAAACACCAACCACCTGGTCTCAGTGGCTACTGATGGGGCACCGAGCATGAGAGGAGCACAGAAGGGCTTTGCGGCTCTACTGCAGAAGGCACTGGGTAGAACACTGCTGTCATTTCATTGCATCCTGCACCAAGAGGCATTGTGTGCTTAAACATTTCCCCCCGAATGCACAAAAGTGATGGATGTGGTCATTCAGATTGTTAATAAGATAATGGCAAAGGGTTTAAACCACCGCCAGTTTTGTTTGCTATTGGATGAGGTGGAAAGCACATATTCGGACTTCCTGCTCCACAACAAGGTCCGGTGGTTGTCCAGAGGCGAGGTGCTAAAACGCTTTGTCACATGTTTGGAAGAAGTAAAAACTTTCCTGGCCAGCAAAGAGCTTACCTTTGCTGAGCTGGAACAGCCAGAGTGGCTGGAAAAATTACATTTTATGGTAGACATGACAGCCCATCTAAACACGCTAAATACAACCCTTCAGGGGAAAGGAGGCACAGCCCTGCACATGCTGGAGGAGGTTTTGGCATTTGAGCGCAAGTTGACAGTGTTTGTCAAAGATTTCCAGAGAGGTACACTGTCTCACTTTCCCTCTTTGAGAGAGTTCAAACAAAGTCATGATACGATAAATTTGGAATATTTCAAGTCTGCAATCACCGCAATGCAAAGCTCATTTGGGAAACGATTCTGTGGGTTCAGAGAGGGAAAAAACACATTCTCCTTCCCTGTCACTCCCCTGGCGATCGATCCATCCCTATTGAATATGACTGCATTTCCAGGTGTAAGTCAACCTGATCTTGAGCTGGAACTGGCCGATATAGCCGACAAAGATATATGGGTGTCCAAGTTCAAATGCTTGACCGCTACTCTTGAGGATGTTGCCCGTCAGAAGGCCATTCTGGCTCAGAATCATAAATGGAGTGATATTGAAAACCTTCCCAAACAGGACAAACTTGTATTCGAAACATGGAATGCCATCCCCAACACTTATATAAACATGAAAAAGTATGCATTTGGAGTCCTGTCGATCTTCGGTTCCACATATGTATGTGAGCAGGTCTTCTCCAACATGAACTATATTAAAAACAAACACCGATCACGCCTCACAGATGACAGCTTGCAAGCCTGTGTGAAAATGAAGGTGACGTCTTATAGCCCTGATGTGCAGACACTGAGCTCTGAGGTTCAGGAGCAAAAGTCCCATTAACCTGGTTACCTGGTTGTAAATTAAATATTTTAATTAGCTATTAATTTGTCCTTTTTTCTTGAGATTGACAGCTGACTGCACGATCCTGTATTAAGGCAAGAAACAATATATGCAGTGTTATATTTGTTTTAAATGTTGCAATGTTTTTGCGGCTCCCAGTTGTTGTTGTTTTTTCGGAAACGGGTCCAAGTGGCTCTTTTTGACTTAAAGGTTGCAGACCCCTGGACTAGTGGATTAGAATTAATGTACATGCCTGTCATTTGCAGTGCCTCCCATTTATACTAATTCTTTACATAGACCTAAGCCAGGTGTATCTGGTAAATGTCATGAATGCGCTTATCATCATTCAGCACACAAGGTCTTGCCTTGTTTTCTCTATTATACTCCAATAAGGTTTTGCCCTTGCACTTTATAAACAGCAGAGCCATCAGGTATCATCACATAGGGGCCTTCCAGTGAAGAAATAAATAGCTACCACACCCCACCTGAATCTTGGCCATAATTTTATTAATTCACTCTGACACCACACACCGAGTCAGGCTCTTTGTGGTGATTTCTAGCTTAAATTTTAAAAAGTAATAAATCTACAGTACTACAATGTAAGTAAACTTTAATTCAGGCACACGGTTAACCTATTGGCGCACAGAGAGATTGTTCTGAAGCTCCAATGAAGAGAGTAGCTGAAAACACAGGATAAAGGGGCTCTCTTGATTTGAGGTAGCAGAACTGGCAGAATAAGTGGGACGTTATGAAGCTTAGTTTAATTTCTTAGCCACCCTTCACCACAACATCCAGGGTGGGCTACAGCAATTTTAAAATACAATGTTAAAAAGAGTTTAAAACAAATATATCAGGTGACAATAGTAAACATGTCAGCTGCTGCATCAGAATAAAGTTGAGCTAGATGAGCCAAAGATCTGACAGCTCTTTGATTCTCTTTATATGATCCATCTTTCCAGGAAGAAGCATCATAAACACAGTATCCATCCATATAAGGGGATTGTAACTACTGTTAGTTACACTCATGACTAGTATGGGTCCATTTAAATAGGTGTCTACTTGAGTAAAACTCAGATACAACTCAAACACTTAGTATTTCTTGATCCATTGCTCAGAACACTATAATGGAATTCACAACATATGCCATTGAAAGCCACAAGGGAGTTCTTTTTTAATTGAGATAAGTTATTTTTATTTGTGCACTTCATTTAAATTAATTGCTTAAAAAATGGAGAAAGGCACTTCAAAGATGATATTTAAAAACAGTGATTTATATTTATCACATGAACAAACCAGTCAGCCACCGTTTGCTGTGAAAAAACCCTCAGCCTGTCACTTAAAAACTCAATACACTGCTCAGCAGTTAAGTTTATCTTTTCAGATGTGTTTCTAGTAAGATTTGTACAGTTTGTTGTACACAATATACATTGTTAATACACGAAACACAACAAAAAAAGCTTTACAATCCGAGTATGGTATCATTTTACAATATACATCGAGATCAAGGATGGGACCAGCTTATACTTTCTCCACAGACAGAAGTCTCACAATCCTAACCTTTATTATAATAGTTAAATGGAAACACAAAGAAGTTAGAAGTGTAATACGTACAGAAGCCATCTCATCACTCTGACAATAAAGTAATTTGAACACTGCTTTAAAAGATGCTTTAAAAATAGTTAAGTGAATTCAACGAAAAGTGATTAAAATGATCTGATTAGGCAACGATTCGCTGAATGTTTTTTCACAAGCTGAACAAGACAAGCACATTTTGTATAGAACAAAAGAATACAAAAGCAATGCAGATCAAAACTGACGTTCAGTTCAGCAATGTTCATATCCACACTATACGCTGGAACTACATTTGTAGCAATTTAATAGTTATGGCTTCCCCCAAAGAATTCTGGGATCTGTTGTTTGCACCACTCCCTTAGCTACAATTCCCAGCACCTGTAACAAAATACAGTCCCACAGTTCTTTGGAGAAAGCCATGCTTTAAGCTTATGATGTGGACGTGGCCAACTCAGCTAGCCATTATTTTATGCCAATCCACAAGAGTGTACACCAATACCTAAAGGGATCTCTTGTGCCTTTAGATGCAAACATACTTTTGTAATTAAGAATACTAGATATTTAATAGAATACTACAATTTCCATCTTTTAGAACCAAGATCAGGGATGCGATGAACGAGGAGGAGTCGAGCTTCAGAATTTGGCAGCTGGGTGCTATTCTGCTTCTCTACACTGAACATACAACACTGAGAGAGAGAAAATAGTTTAAAGAAAAGGGTGGAAGAAAACTTGAACCCCACAGTAATAAGCTGCTTCCCAGAAGATAACCTGTGCCTCCTCCTGCTAAAGGCACTCCTGGTCAAAAAAGTAAATAAATGTTTAGCTGGCTCAGTGGTAGCCTTTGCACTCCCAATACTGAACGACGGTGGCTCACTCAGACTAAATAACGGGGCACACTCACGACTTCCAGCTACAGCTGCTGTTCTTGAGGGTTTGGGGGGGTCTTCTAGAATGATGTGTTATGTAACATGTGGAGGTAACTGGTGGAAATAGATCCAAGCCTTTACTTTGAAAATCAGCAAATAAAACAAGCGCCAATGTATGAAGCAAAACATTGCTCCCTACATGGTACATGGTACTATTGTTGCTGTGCAATAGTACCCTACATGGTACTATTGTTGCTGTGCCAATACAAATGATGGACGGACCCCAACTTAAATAACTTTAGATGTACAAGTGGGACCTGCGGTAAAATGCTGTAGTGCATCTAAACAGCATGAAGCAGGAGCCTTGTAGTGATTTCAGATGTCATGGGGGAAAGGAAAGTTACAGGGGAAAGGAAAGGGATGAGGAATACCCCCACCCACCCTACTAAGGACTTCTGCAACTGTGCTTCAGCAAATAATGTGAAACTGCCTAAGATCCACTGTGGAACAGAAAAGTCAGTAGAATAATGACTGACAGCAAGGGTGTATGATGGAAAACTGGAATCAGAACAAGAACAGTTGAGGAGAGAGAGAGAATAAAGGCATAGGTAAGAGTTATGACAGCTGTAAAGAGAGAAGTCAGGTATGCCAGGTTAGTATAGTAAAACAATTTGTTCTTCTTTATCATTTGACATACTATTTTCTATAAATACAGCTAATGTTCTTAAGTGTTCTGGCTTTGATGATTCTAGGATCAAAGTGTCATGCCACATCTTTGGCTGATCCACGCAGGTAGCAGGTTGTTCTGAGAATAGGAAAGTGTAGACTGAGTGAACCAGCTGACAAAACAAGCCTAATGATGCCCAGGGGCCTTCTATAGGACCCCAAGATGTCCCAACTTGGCAGCAAAGTGGTAGCATCCAAATTCATAGAATTTGGAAATCATGGGATAAAACTGGTGAAGTCCTGAATACCCCAGAATTTTGGTGACCCCGAACTTTAAGAGAAGACCCAGAGCCATGCAGTCAAGTGTTATTTTGGTCTGGAGAGGTAGTAGAGGCTAGATAATGCCTTATAAGAAAGCACCAAATTCAAATGGAGGTAACAAAGACTCTGGGATGAATCCCGATTCCATAGAGGTTTAAAAAATGGTGCTTGAGCTTGAGGTGCCCTGTCTGGAAATGAAACAGAGAGCCAAGAATTGGAGTAGAGGGAGAAGAAGCCCAGAAGAAACATGGATCAAAGCTCAAGGATATAGAAAGAAGAATGAATTGAAGATTATTACAAGAGAAGTCAGAGAATGTGAGATTGCAGAATGCATACACAGAACCACCCAGGTAGCCTTGGCCGAGAGGGTTCAGGAGCCACAGCAGTTCAGCTTAGAGACAGCACTCTCCAAGAGCCAACTCATGGTGTTAAGTGGCCCAGGTACAAGTTGTAACTAGGAGGCAGAAAAGTTCGGTTGAGACCTGCACTCTGTTCGCACTCCTTATGGTGTACCAGGGCAAGTGGCTTGCAGTACTGGTGATTTGGAACCAAAAGAGCACGAACAGTTGCAGAAGTTGATCTTGAGAAGGTTCTAAGTGAGAATTCATCTGCCAAGGAGTAGTGAAATAAAGTACCCTGAATTTGCTGAAGCTTGTGCTAATGTAGTATGGAATTCCCTTTCCACCATTGCTGAGTTAACACCAAGACTAGACATAGGGAGGAAGTAAAACTTAAGGTGTGATTCTGTAGCGGACCATATTAAGATTGGTTCTGTTGAGGCAGTAGCTGCATATTCATTCCTGCAAGAGCTTGCAGAAATTGTATGGGGGCCCTTAGAACATCACGAGTCATCATGTCAATACAAATGACTGTCCAACACACTCCACTTGAGAGAACTATGATTTGGACTTGAGTCTGTGGAAAAGCGACTTGGCTGTTGGGAACCAGAAAAAGGCTACTGAATACTCTAAATCTAACATAACAGAGGGGCTTAAGCCCTGGAAAAACAGCTGTGAAGACAACATAAAACTCTGGGGACTTCACCTCAACCAAAAGGGAAAAAAATGTGAAACCTTGGTAAGTTGGGAACAAGAACTCTATCTTGCTTTAACCTGCCAAGATGCAGGGATCAGAAAATAAATTCAACTGACTGTGGATGCAAACGGGCAGTTGTATTCATACATTAAACTTGGGGATACAGGTGAATATGCAATTGTCACTGCAGGAGGGCAAGGAACTGCTAATCTTGCTGGAATTTTGAATAATTATTCTGTGACTCCTACAAGAAACATCCTTCTTAGAAATGTATGCCTAGATTAAATGTGGGCCTCATTCTTGTTTCTGAATAAACAGATATACTGAAGGAGGCCGAGACTCTGAATTACTAGTTGTGGTTCTTCAAATCAGATTCCTTAAAGGGAACTGTCAACATGACACCTGTGACAGTTCAATGGGCATTGTACATATTGGCTCTATTAACTGTGAAGTTTCCATTTGATCCATGGAAGGGGTTGTTACAAATGAGTTCTGCAAATGGAATACAGACCTGTGGAATTCAGTAGTACTGTTTAAACTATGATTTATATTCTTTTCTGTTGTCATGGAACATCAAATTCAGACAATTGTTCGGAAGGGGGGTGTAACAGAAGAGGGAGAATGATTAACAGCAGGGGCATGTGACGAAACATTTGGGTGGATTCCGACTGACAGATTTTTAAAATGACATGTTGAGGGGAGAGTTAGAAGCGCTGAAAGAGTGTATGGGGGGAGGGAATGAGATGAGAGAGAATGCAGGCATTGATAAGAGTGTTCAGATAGGTATAAACAAGGGGAGAGCAAAATGCCAGGTTTGAGTAGTAAAAACACTGATCTTCTTCATGAATTGACTATTTGTTCTGCTGTTATTTCCATAAACAAAAAAGTTTCAATATTTTAAAATTAAGGTGTTTTAGTTTGGATGTATTCTAGGATTTAAAAGTCTCATCCCATGCATCTTGTAAAAATATACACAACTAAGCATATAGAGGGAGAGTCTTATACTATTCACAATAACTCAGTAGTTGTGGCAACAAATTAGGGAAGTCTGGACTCAATGGACCAGCTGAGTTACTGATCTATTGAATTCCCAGGAGCCAGCATCTTGTCTCCTTGGAATGCCAGGAGCGGCCATGTCAATACAAATGATTGTCAAGCACACCCCAGATGAAAGAATATATTAAGCATACAAGTGCCATCTGCAAGAAAATGCTGCTGTGTTTCCCAGCAAATGAAAAATAACTGCTCCTGTTCAGGGCTCCAACCAGCCCGGAACGGTAGCCTTCTATTGTTTTTCAGATCTCACAGGGGAAAGTAGCGGCAAAGTCCTCTCCTCCAAGGCCTTTGGATGCTTAAAAGTATCTGGTAGAAAGTGATGGGAAAGTCCTCTGCCTGAGATCCTGGAGAGTTTCTGCTGGGTCGAGGAGACACTAAAGGGCTAGGTGGACAAGCAGTCTGGCTATAAGGCTGATTTCTGTGTTTTCTATGTTCCTACAGTGCTAGAAGGCTCAGGTTCCAAACCAGAATGCATATACATATATATTTTCCTTTATTTCTAGAACATCTCTGTATAATGCAGAGAGAAGAGGTTTTTTTTAATCAGATGCAATATATCCCATCATACTTCCTATAAGCTGTTAGGGGCCCGAGAAGGTCAATTCCTTCCAATCCCACCCCCATATCTGGTTTGCTTTATCTTCACTCAACTGACATCAATATTCCATGCACCTTGAGGAGAGTTTAATTTTAATTTATTTTAGTTTCTGTAAACCTAGAGAGTCCCTCAAGTATGCAGATATCAGTACCCTTTTGCTGCCAAACTGACAGCAATCCAGCTACCTAAACTCATGAATAGAAAGGGTCTAAAAATTAACAGACATTCTGATGCTTTAATGCAAAATGACTTAGAATAGTTCACTCTCCCCATCCAAAGATTAGCCACACACTTCACTAAAGCAGTGGCAATTTATACCAGGTGCTTGGAAAATACTTTGAGGTAGATTGCCATGTGACATGGGTCGGACAGATGAATGCCACTAAAGTCGAAACAAGCAAAAGAAGAGACGGGTATAAACAAGCTGGAGATTAAAAAGATGTTATATATCACATAAGCAAAAATTTATTCTACTACTGAGCAATAGCTTAACATTTGTCTCAGCAATGCATCTGTCACCAAAGATGCTCTGAGAATTTGGCATGCCTATTATTTTTTGCACTTTCCCCTTGTGATGGATGTAACAGAGAAACAGCATGTCTAAAAGCCAAGATCTGCACCATTCTGGAAATTTCAGTTTTCAAAACTTCACAGACAGTTCTATAGTATAAATTTTAAAAATCTAGTCTGTTATTTTCATGTGCGGTAAAGCCTATCTAGTTAAGAAGAAATGTTAAGATTGTACTGAGCATTCATTAAGAGCAACAGTGGCAACAGAACAATACTATTATCCCATGCCTAAACAATGGAGAGAGGCAGAGGTGTACTGCATATGGAAACCTTGAAGTAAACAATCTTATAAGACAGTGGTAATTCTCCAGTGCTCCATTTCAATTAAAAAGCACATAGTAATGAGTTCAGGAAACTTGGCGATGATTTCTAACCAGCAAACACCATCAAGTACAAAATCTCACTGTTATCATCAATATGATGAATTTAAGGCAAACATAAAACAAGCCTTGGTAGATCACTTTAGCAGGACTACAGAGCGAGAAAGTCTAAATCTGAAGTTGGGTGGGGGAAAATAATTCAGTACACAGTATCTAGAGTGTGAGTGCATGATGGCTACAGGAAAACTGCACTACTGTTAAGTTTAGCACAAAGTACACAGCTCCTTCATGTGTGGATAAAGATCTGTTTTAAAACAGCCTAACACAACAACACAACCATCTGAAACACACAGGGGAAATCATGTTTTAGACTGACCAAAAGGATGTCACACAAGAAATAGGAATATACTATTAAAGTTGAACTAAATAATAACAGCCATCTAACCCTAAATGGAAACTATCAAACACTTAACATTCTAAACAGGCAACATAACATCACATTATGTCGCAAGTCCAGCTGTATAAACAAAGAAAGGTTTTTCTTTTTTTTAAAAAAAGGAATCAATAGCATTAAACCAGAATGGAGCTATGGACAGTTTGCTGCTTCCTATAGTACTATCATAGTAGTTCTTATAGTAATCAACTTTCTGGATGAAGCATGATAAATATATGTGGATATGTTTTTAATTTATCTAGTGAAACTGTGCCCATTATAATACTACAGAACTCAAGATTCTCATTCAAGTTTCTACCTAACCTTCTGCCACATCTCAAACACTCTCAAACTTCCTTCCAATGTATGAAACTAAAACCCAACATATTCACCAACATTTCGAAAATTAGATCTAAATATTAAACTTTGGCATCTAAGCAGGAGGCTCATTTCTTGACTGCTAACTTTGTCAGGATAAGCTTCTGTTTAAATACTCCACATTTGAATCCTTTAACAAAGAATGCAACAGTATCTAATGTAATTAATTGAAGGTGTCCAAGAATTGACACAAAGCATTGTTTCATGATAAAAATGACTAAAATACTGCATATTGTGGGTAAATGTGGAAAACAGATATTTGTTTCAATTTAAGATTTGTGTGCATACATTACTGAATCAAGATTAAAGACATTTAATTCCTCACTACAAAGTTTTATAGACTTGACCTTGCAGTCCTCATGGCATGTGAAATGACCTTGCTACCAGCATGATTAGAAAAGAATCTGCTGGCTGCAGCCACATGAAGGAACACTTGTAATTATTTAAGAAATCCATCTAGCTCCACTGTAAGCTAAATGTTTTAGTTCAGCATTCCATAAGGCGCCTTCAGTGCAGTACCAAACATTTTATTTAGAGGATTTCAAAGGCTTTTCCATTTCAGCTTTGGCTTTTATATCACCCTTTGCTGCATCACTTAAATTTTGCTTTCCTTGATCCTTAGGAGCATCAGGATTGTACCTGAACTGGTACCCATAAGGACGGAGATGATAAAACAAATACTCCAGCTGATACATAGTGGTGGCGTCAACATAATGAAAAGAAACTGCCAGGTCAGAGCAGCAGCCAGGACCCTGCCGTGAAAGAGAAAAAACGATGAACAAGCAAGATAAAGAAATAAATGTTTTAAATATATTTTAAGTGTTAATATGGACTATGGTTTGTCACTTAACAATCAGTGCTCAGGATTACGTAACAGCAAAAAAAAGGCTCAGATACATCCAAGTGTGTGCGTGCGTGTGTGTTTAAAGAGCTATTAGCAGATGTAAGAATTTGGAAATAATCAGAATACAATTCTCAATTGGATGGGCCAACAATGTGACAGTATATGGCAGCTATACATAGACAAAGTTAAAAGGTATTTTCTAGTGGCCTATTTAGACTGTGAAAAGCACTGCAAAAATCTTACCTCTATGGGAGGGTAGTAGTTATAATTCCAGTACCAAAAAGTTTTGGGTAGGTATCCCTTAATTAAGTGGTGCTCTGGAACAAATGGATGAAAAGTTTCTTTGCCAGTTGTATCCCTTGAATCTCCAGCTTCTACATTAATACTCTCCATGCATTTGCCTAATGCCAAGTCTTCAATAGAAGAGCTATGAGTACATTTGTTGGTTTTAAAAGCATCCACAAATCTCTTCAGAGCTTCTTTGCTGAGCACATAACCTGCGCCTCCGCTCATGTAGCCCTGTTTCACAAAAGGCTTAAATTTCCTTCCAAAATAAATTGGTTTTTCAGGACTGTGTTTTGAAAGAAGCCACCTCAAGTTGTCCAGTGCAACATACGTGTCATCATCTGCCTTCATGAACCAGTCCGCTTCATCAAGATGGTGATCGTGTACATACTGGAAAGCTTTGATGGTTTTCCAGTACAACTGATCCCTGCCTTCTTTGGTTTTTAATCCCACTGTTGGGAAGTCTTTGTTCTCCTCAGAGCTCATAAATAGCACTCTGTTGCAATGCTGGGCCCAAGTAGCTTTGACATGTTTGGCTTTCGTTTCCAGATTTTGAGGTCCAGTCATCACCCAACAAAGTATTCTTACTTTCTGGTACAGTTCTTCAGCAATATTTTTATTTTCATCTGGGGTGCAGGGAAGCAAAATTGCAAAATACCATCAGTGTGTTAGAATTTTCACACAAGTAGAACACCACATATTTATTTATGCATTCTAAGTAATTATATGCCAATTTTTAGAGCTACACCCTCAAAAAACGAAGTATGTTGAACTAAATGACAGATACAATGCATTAGTTGGCACATCAGAAAGGTGCACACTGTACTTCTAAAGAAAGCTCAAAACAAACACGGTTTTGCCATAGCTCTGACAGCCACAATAATGGGACAGCTGCTCCAGCAGTCTTTATGGTGCAAGATTCTACAAACTTGGACTGTTGAGGGAGGGGTGATACTGAGCAAGGCTAATGGAATAAAGATTTGTAAAGGTATGCTGAAAGCTTTGAACTATCCTTGTCTACACTGTAAATGAACATCACCTCAGTTAAAGTTTATCATGACATTCACTTTCTTTTAAATGATAAATTATGTTAAGATATTCTCCATCCCCTTTAAACAGGATAAGAAAACTATTTCAAGTTCCCAGGCGCTTTTACAATATCTGAGTGCCAGAGTTGGGAAGATGGAGAAATTATCAGATTCCTAGATATCAGCACTATGGGTTTTTTTTTTTGGGGGGGGGGGGTAGAGCCACCAGCAACAAGTTTTCAGCTTTACAAACTAAAACACAATCATACGTGCACTTCCATAAGAATAAGCCACATTTAATGCACATTTAATGGCTTCTTTAGGCATTTGGTTTCGCTTGGCATTTAATTGTGGACTCAGAACATTTTAATGTTTCAAAACAATTTAGGGAAAAACTTAAGCCTGTATCCTAGAAAGATACATGGATTATTTATTTAGTTTGAATACTTATAACATGGGATATGTATACAATCCATTTTCAAGGGAAGTACAAGGTTATATATTGTAAAGAAAATTAAACTGTAATGCTCTGTACAGCTGCATAAATATACCTTTATGTTGCCCAGCATCTGCATTGAAATTCATTTGTCCTTTCAGCTGATGGCTTTCATCAGCATCATCTGAGTGAATGCCATGAGGATTGTTGTAAAGGAGATGAGGCTCAACTTTAACTTGTTCTTCCAACACTAAACTAAATAGCAAATAACATAAGAAAAATCCAATTGCTGATCCAAATGTAAAGGTCAAAAAATGCATTAAGGATTTAGGAGATGCCATTTCCTGAAGAGATTTCTGCCGAGAAAGAGAAAGAACACTAATTATGTTATGCTTGAAAACATAAGATAAAAATGCAGAAAAACACTGACCATATGAACATACTGTTTCTTTCCCTGCAATTAGTTTGTGATTATACCTCATGTTGAAGATGCCTCATACTTAATATTTTACTATGTTTTTAACTAGTATAAAAACATTTTCTTTTTCTAAACATAGTAAAATATAAATCTTGGCCATTTCATAAGAAAGTATAACAATAAAGTCATAACCAACAACGGCCACATCCATAATTTCATGTTTAAAATTTTCCATTTGTGAACTTGCTTTAAAATTGGGGAAGTGTGTAATAAAAGGCATGCAAGAAACTTACACTGAAAAAAATATGTTGTGTGTTTCATCTTCTAACAGCACAAATTCAAAGTGTGCATGCTGGGAGAATAGTGTGAGCACCAGTATGGTATAGTAGTTAGAGTGTTGGATCTAGGAGACCAGGGTTCAAATCTCCACTCAAGTCATAAAGCTCACTGGGTCAGTCATTCATTACCTTTCAGCCTAACCTTAATCTCCTAGCCTGCTACCATGTAATTTGCTTTACGTACACCTTTCCAGTTCTGCAGTGAAACTTGACAAAGGTAGGTGGTTTTGTCAGTTTCACCAATACTATGTCACTTTTCTTTTTTATATATACACCAGTGTTTATACCCTTTTTATCCCACTCCTATCCTGGGAGCAGCAACAGCAAAGAACTGGAACATGTTTTCTCAGAGTTGGTGCAAGTTACACGGCTCCCTCCTTCCCACATATTCCCATACTGGGAGAAGTGGTTAACATATGAAAAAAAAAGCATTCCCTAATATTTAAAACTCTGCAAGAAAAAGATATGTGCTGGAGGACTAGAACTGCTATTGAAAAGAATACATTTCATAGATGGTGTGATACAAAAAAACTACAGGAAAGTTTAAACATTTTAAAACCACCTTCCTGTAGGACCACAGGTGGTTTTTTAAAAAAAACCATCCCTTTTTGTCTTTCAGGCTTCTGCACCAACAGCAGCAGAGAGGTACGAAACCATCTAACAAGAGAATACAATGCATGTTTAAGCGAAAGTAAGTCTCACTGCATTCAATGGGGCTTTCTCTCAGGTAAATGTACCTCGGACTGCAGCCAAACAGATCTATCCTTTGCAAGCAGAAGTACCATGTCCTCTGCTTTAAATGGGATTTGCTCCTATGTTGCAGCTCATGCAAGATCTGCTTTTCAAAATGTTCACAGAAATACTCCCTCGGGGCGGCACCTCGACACAGCAGAGACTTCAGAAACTTCCTGTTTCTGACAATTGGTTTCCTCAGATAGTGTTATCTAGCGTTATCAAGGCCCAGCGCCTGCCACTCGTGAGGTGGCCTTTACAACCCTGCCAAGCTGCCTCCCCACTTCCTCTTGTGAAATACTCAGCTTTCAGTCCTTCCAGCAAGCTCAAGCAGTAGGCTGGTATAGAGGTAGTTAACCTATAAGATCTCCTTACCCCCCCCAATGCCCACTGAACTTTGATCTGTGGAACTGGCACTGTTGCAGGTGCCACATGATCCCCATTCCGCACTTGTAAGAACTCACATGTTTTAAGGCGGCAGCACCTACACTTTGGAACTCCCTGCCTAGTGATGATAACCAGGCAGGCACCTTCACAGTCCTCCTTTCGGCACCTTCTAAAAACATGTTTGTTTAGACAGGTTTACCCGGAAATTCAGAAAGTCGAAGTGTGTTTCATCTGTGGCTTCCCACTGTTTTTGAAGGTTGCCAATTCTCCTTTTTTTTTTTTATTACTTTATTATTTCCACAGGCCACAATCAAGCAGTGTGTCTATAAATTCTATGAAATAAAATGATTTCTCCCTCCCAGCACTTATATGGAATCCTCCGCTTCCAAGTATGGGGCTGGGAGCCCGCGGATCCTGGGATGAAACCCAGAAAAGCCGCCCCAGCCCCGCTTTCCTCCAATAGCGACGGTGTGGATCCATCGCTACTATAAAATGTAGTAAGCGAGCCCAGCTGCGTTTGGGGGGGGGCGGGGAGCCGATCTGCGCTTAGTGGGGACTCTGAGTTTCTGCCCGTGGGCACAGCTAAGGGGGCCTCCCCCCAAAAAACAGTAAAAATAAATACAAATCTGAGGTCCACCCCAACAAAAAACCCCTCTGGCTACGCCCATGTTTCTGGCCCCAGGGCGCCCCCGCTAAAAGGGCAGTTGACACCTCTCCCTAAAGGCTCCTTGGGAGGCTTCGTCGGGGTCGAACCAGGCCGAAATCTCCCACCCGCGACATGGTTTCCACACGACACTTGTGACCCCGACCTCGGGGTTCGCCACGCCGCCCTCCCCGCCTCCTCCGGGGCGAGCCCACCTCCCTCTCTTCCCCTCACCTTGCCCCGGGCCTCGGCCAGGACAGCCAAGGTGGGCGGCGGGGGGCGGTGGAAGAAGGCGACTCCTCCTCGTCGTCCTCCTCTCAGGCGCCCCGGAGCCACGAGAGGCTTCCAGGCGGCGGCGGCAGCGGCGCTTGCGAGCGAGGCCCTGCCATGGCCATCGCGCGAGGGCTCCTCTGAGCAGGCCGGCACCTACTCAACGCCCATCCTGCTACCCTCGGGCCGCCCGACCTGAGGGAGGAGGAGGGCCTAGGCCGGCCCGCCCCGGAGCCAGCTGCCTCATGAGGCCCGAGGACGGAGCCAACCAGCCCGGCCCGCGGCCCTGCGATGGGGCGGCGCCTGGCCGGCCTCGCTTCCCGCCCACCTGGTGACAGAGCTGAGGGAGGAGGAGCAGCCCGGCGCCGGCAGTTGCTTTCTTTCTCCAGGGCCGTTTTCCGGGGATGGATAACTGGCAGCTTCTGGGGTGGAATAAATACCCTTTAATCCCCGAGGGCTTCATTTCCTCGTGACTCAGAGTGTCGCTTAAGGGAGTCGCGCCCTTTGACTAAACAAGCAAACAAATAATAAAAGTTCTTACTAGGCAACCATAGCCTCGGCCCGGCATTTCATCCCCGAAGCCAGCTTGCTTTGGGGAACAATAAGCATGCCCATTTGCTTATTGCTCTTTGCCCTGGGTGCAGGGCACTCCCTGTGTGTTTTATAGGGCTGTTGCAAGAGATAGAATATAGATTATAAGATTAATTTGGCAGAGCAGGGGTGAGGAAATTCAAGCCTGGGGTTCAATGTGGCCCTGTCAAGGGCATAGCCAAGGGGAGGCGGGGGGCAGCTCCCCCCAATCAAAATCAGTACATATCTGAGGTTCTGTGCTCCCCCAACAAAAATCCTGACTATGCCCCTGTTAAAACCCATAATACAGGTCAGCACAGTGTGTGCTGCCATGCAACAGAAGTTGCATTACCTCTTCAGGCTCAGATATAAGTAGCATTTCCTGTAGCAGCCAGAAACAGCTATGCTTGTAGAATGCATGAACAGCCCCAGGGACATGGGCACTCAAGTCAGTTTTCCATGCAGGCACACCACATCGTACTACATACATGTACCAAGGGGATGCTTAGGATGATTAAAAGAAAGGAGAGAGAGAGAGAGAGAGAGAGAGAGAGGTCTACTGTTAGGGAGGAAGACATGGGTGTAGTCAAGGCGGGGGCAGATCAAGTAAAACAACTAAGTGACCAATCACATAGGTTCTGCCCTTCAAACAAAAGTCCCCCCCAAGTCCTGCCCCCACTAACAAAAATCCTGGCTACGCCCATGGAGGTAGACAACAGTTTGTCTGTCATGCGTAATGTTTTCACCTTCTGTGCATTTTAAAATGGCCCTTAACAGTCTGACGTTTGGATAGAGTGAACTCAACTACTGTACAACCACCAACACACTCCTTTGAGACTGGCCACTATGCATTTATTTTATCTCTCGTTGTGTCAGTGAAATAAGTGGCAGGATACCCAGATATTATTAAACACACACAGTTTTCCCCCTCATACAGTATAGCTTTTATGGAGCCCACACCAGAAATGTCTAGGGTCATCTAAACCTGATAGCTATCAAGTCATATGCAAAACCAACCAACCAATTTTTGCATAATTACTCAGCACACACAAAATGTTTCAAAAGGAAATGTTCCTAGGCAAGAATGTCACAGCTGATTTAAGATAAGTGATGTCAATGGTATTACAATCAGATAAAAGCAGTGTATACACTAACCTGTTTGTAGCATACAAATGTAGTTTTTATTCATCTGGAATAATTTCTCATCAACATGTTGCTTTCAGTCTAAATTGGTTCTTGATCCTGCTGTCCACAAGGATGTTTGAAAACTCCTTGATTAGGTGGTCCATGCCTTTTCCACATTGCGCGTGCCTGGCCCCCTTTAATGTAGTGGTGATTGCAATCTTGGTATACACTCACCCACAATGTCAGGTGTGAGGATACACCTGACACACACCCCTCCATGGCTACATCTGTTTTTAAATGGACACACTGCAGGCAGTGCAGGGTCATGCAAAACTTACCTCAGTGTGATGAGGATAAAAGTATTTGGAAAACTGGAATAGTCCAGTGAGCCTTGAAGTTCTGTTTATGCGCATAGCAGGAAGTAACTGCAAGCTTATGGTAAAACAGAAGTGTATTTAGCAGTGTGTTTGGCTTCATCTGTTTAATTAACCTCTGGTGCCACTTTTAAACAGCTTTTTTATTACTTTATCTAGATCCTGTTTGTTTTTCTGGCAAATGAGGAAGAATCATTGTTAGGATCCAGCCTGCTCTGTAGAGCAAGGTGTAATATCCTGGTAGCCCTTCCTGGAGTCCAACTCAGCATGAGTTCAACTCACAAAAATATCTTTGTGAAAGATAAAGGCTTTAATGAAAGGCTTGACTGAAATTATAGTTCATGAAATGCTTATTCATCTTTGCAAGTGTGCATGTTAGGACCTGTGTGTGTGCGTAAAGGTATCCTGCAGAGTTGCTTCTTTCAAATATGTCCAGTGTCTTACATAGGATTGTGTATGCTTATCCAGCTAACATACTCCATGTGCCTGCCATCTGCATTTCAAGCTATTCATCGTCAGCATTTACAACAAGCTCCATCCCCAGCATTTTCAGGATGGGCTGTAAAAAGCAAGTGTAAGCAATACTGAGCTAAATGGACTAGTGTCCTGACTTTAAAAGATGCTTTTTGAAATGGACATAGTATAATTGCTTTGTGGTAACTATAGTACCGGTATATCAAAAGGCTGTGTGATAAATGGGCATTTGCCTCTTCAGCATTGTGGAATGATCAATCATTTTAAAATATTATTTATTTAGAAGAGTTTTAGATTGCTTTTCACCAAAGGATCCGTAAGCTGTTTTCAGCAATAAAAATACAGATTATGCAGATTAAAATCATATACAATTTAAAATCAAAATGAAGATGTACGAACGATGCAAAATACTGCAGACCTACAACCCCAGTGCAAACTAAACAACCCATCTGAAAGCCTGGGACAACATATAGGTTTATGTGCAGATGTCAAAAGGCCAGCAATGATGTTAACATCCATGCCTCTAGAAGAGAATATTGCCAAAATTAGGTTGCTGTCACAGAGAAAAACCGAACCGACATTCCAGCACAATGAGCGACAGTTGCCAACAGCACTGCAAACCCCACCCCACCCCTGGCCTGCCTCTGGTTGTTTTCAGGGTCCAGGCTGGCTGATGTGGAGAGAAACACTCCATCAGATATCTAAGTCCCAAGTCGTTCAGGGCTTTATACGCTAACATCTTGAATTGGACTCCAGTAACATATAGGCTGCTCCTGAGTATCTTGGTATACTATTTCAGATCTTTTATCTTTTCCAGTATCGTTTAGCAATGCTCTTTTGATACTATTCCTCTGCCTACTATTCTAGGGCATGCCTTCTTCTAGGGAGAGTTATGCAGTGTAGCTGGAGTGTATGCCCTGTGTACTGAAAAATAAATCCCATTGAATTCAACAGGACTGAATTTCCAGTAACACCCATTTCCTTTTCTTTCCCCTTTGAAAATGGGGATGTGAAAGCTGAGTTGGGCTCTGACTTGGAATGAAGAATTGTGTTGAATGTGCACAGCAAAGGTTTTAATACTATCTCAATGTTTGAAGCAGATACTCCATTACAAACATATTTTCAGAGAATTCAAACCTGTTGAATTAATCCGTAGGTATCACTTTGCTTAGCTGAAACCTATGTCTCATCTATTTCAGTACACACCTATAAGGCACTAAGAAGAAATATTCCCATTTATTGTGTCCTAATATTTGGTACTTGTAAATACTTGATTATTATGCCAAATATAGTGTAATGTGGTGTCTGAGTATATGCTAGTAAATGTAACATGTAGTTTAGTCCTCAGATTCAAAACTGCTTGGAAAAACTGACCTAATTCTGGCAAGCTTCTTATTGAAGGATATTGCCAAATACAGGTCCTTTTTATAAGTGTTTTGTAAATGTTGCACACAATAGCTTTTTTTCATTCAGCTGAAGCTGAGTTGATTTGGATGTCAAAGCAACAGCTCTACCTTGTGACAAAAAAGGGTACTGATTCTTTTGTCCTTGGTCTAAAGTTTTCAAATTCAGATTGAACAATTAAAGTGGATTTGTAGAAAGGACTTTTGAGGTAAGGAAAGTGATGGGGAAATGCACTGGGAAGTGTGGGATAACAATTGTTAGGCTGAATGGTGTACAGTATAACCTGCCTGCAAACAAACTGGGATGAATGCTCAATAAACAAGATGCCTAGAAGCGTTCAAAGAGTAGCTGTGTAAATTTTACGGCTACATTCAACGCACCCCCCCCCAAAAGGTTCTTCTCATTCTCTCCCCTCTCCCCCTGCTTCCTGTCTATAAAATCTAGTTTGATGAAGAGTTCTGCTGAACTTTAAATTTTGCTCTGTGTTTTGTGATGACTCCCTGTGGTTTGTATGGGCAGTGTATATAAATTGAGTTCTCTCAAAATACTAGAATGTAGGGTCATCCAGTAAAATTGATTGGCAGTAAGTAGCCGCACAATACAAAATTAACTTACTGCAAGATAGTAATAGGATACATGAGATAATGACTATCAGCTATGTGTAGCTAAAATGGAACTGTGATTGGAGACAATCAGCAGAGGTTGGCACTTGGTAGAACTGAGATGGGAGGATTTGAATTTGCGGGGGGTTTGTGTGAATGTGGTCTCAGGGTGTACAGTGCTATAAACAAAACATTTCAGTAATAATCATAGCAAGCAGGTCTGTTGGCCTAAATTAAGATCTGGGTTCAAACCCACTATTTAGCCAGTGAAGCCAGCTGGGTGTCTTATGCCAGTGGGAGGCAGATTAAGAAGAATACTTGAGCTGGTTGCTGCTATGGGGGGGGGGGCACCTACCACCAGCTGCTCTTTGAGAAGGATTCAGAGAAAGAGAATCACAGGCAAAGCCAATCCCACCCTGCTGCAGCTGCCTACTCATTCAGCCACCAGGTGCCCTTGGGGAAGGAGCCTGATGACGTCTTAATATGTCAATATTGCTTTTTCCCGTTTTAAAAACAGTGGAAGGATTTGGATCCCGAAAGGTGGGAGCTCAGTAACTGTAGACATTAAATAAACACCAGTTATTATTCTCTCTCTCCCATTCCGTGCCTCGCAGGGTCGACGTGGGATGGAAATAGCTGCAAGAAATCAGTATCCATGACTTTCTCTCCTTGACCAACCTCCAGGGCTGGATTTAGGTTTGATGAGGCCCTAAGCTCCTGAAGAGGCCCTTTATATGTCCAGCTGTCCTTTGGC